CAATCAGTAGCACTGTTACTTCATTACATATAAAGCTCGAGTGTGTATAATAAGCCGTTGATACAGAATGAGTTTATATTATTAATCATTGACCGTAAGCAATCGTTATCGGTCGGCAATATCGAGACGTTATTGACTATTGACTATATATTATTGATTTCATTCTTAGATTCGACGTGATTCTTGGGGCGGTCTGTGGTCAATTTTACTTAAAACATAACCTCAATATCACTGGCTGGCTCAATAACTTAAACTCTTAAATCATTGGACAATGAGATATTGAGCTACATTCTATTAAAAAAGTTGTGAAAAAGTTTCTGCGACCACTACCGTTGTTAGATCACTGGAAAGACTTATTTTATAGAATTCCAATTATCATAATCTGTGTTAAACGATGTAAAATATATTTGAGTGCAATCTTCTGCTTGGTAGAATCAAGCATGTTATAAAATTTAGCGCGTACCTCCTCACGGTTTTCATGAAGAAAAATTGAAAATCGATTCCCTTAAACAGAAACCATTGTTTAAGCTCCATTTTAATCGTACTCGCGTTCTTCATCTCCGATATATATTATGCTTGTCTCATATATATGTTCGGCTATTCAGGGCTTTCTTCATCTAGAAGCTAATTGTGTTAAAACCATGTTGTAGTTGTTGTCAAAGCACCAGCCGTTGTGATTGCCGCGGCGTGGCGGTCAGGTGGCCACGCAAGGAATTCAACATTGACGTAAAAACTATAGCAGTTATTCAGGCATGCTCATTTTACAGAATTTGTCAAAGGAACAGAGCATTTGATTTTAAATCGGAGTGTTAAGCACCATGCTGAAACTTGGCATTTGTTAAGTTGATAAGCTCGCTAGATATAGTGATACTGTTAGGGTATTGTTGCTTTTACTCGTTACATTTTGTTAATATTATGTCAGAAGTGGTGGAGGACTATATGGAGGCCGAAGTACCTGCAGCTACTACAGTAGAACCTGTACCTGCAGCTACTACAGTAACACCGGTAAGTTGAAAACACCGCACATATCAATAATATAGTTCACCAGATACTTGTAACGAATAATAAAAGATGTGGTTGCACTGTTGTGCACTGTGGATTGACTGTTCATGCGAAGTTAAACCGAGGATTTAAAGCTTTTGATCTCTTCTTTTGTACCGAGCCCGACCTTTTGTACATATTTCGATCTTGAAAATGACTTTGAACGTGAGTTTTAAGTTATAGTTAAACATCGATCCATTCATATGTTAGTGCGTTAGAATTTGGATCAAAAGATCAAAAAAGTTTCATTTGTTTAATTCGTATGAAGCAAGTATGCCGAAAACCGACCTCCTTGAAACATCGAAAGTATCTGAAGTCTGAGCTCATAAACAAAGTTGTATTGCGGTTAGATCCAAGCCATATTTTATATAATAGAACAACTCTTATATTATTACATTCCTTATTTAGTTAGTAGGGAACTTCAGAGTCAAACCAGAAAGCATTCTTTTCTCTAAAATTTGTCAGTAATGATTAGAATTAAAAGGGTAATTATTCGATGGATAACTAACTCTTAAGGTATTTACTACCCCGCTCATATGCAGCAAAGATATTGTATAAGATAGAACTAAATATAATACGTTATTATTTCAACGGTCTTCTGGTAGAATTCATGGTAGACAAGCCAGGCTATAAATCATTAAAGTATTTTCCGAGGAATATTGTTGATGGTTGCATGTAATAACAAATGTTTTATAAATGTATAGATACAGTATTTCTAATTCCACCATTTAACAAATACTTCGAGAATAATGAAAAAAAAAACATACATGATCTCGGTTATTGAGGGGGAATTGACTGTAACACAATATTTATCGAATTCTTAGATACTTACAGAATTATTAAGCCACATATTGGTGTTACAATGTCCTGTAATCATCATAAGCATGATAAAACTCAAATACGTAAAATACATATTTTAGATTTTGCTAGATTGCATTCTTGAGAATGAAATCTATTTTTACAGATTTGCGGGGGCATCGTCCGCAATTACAACATGCTTGAAACAAGATCCCAAATCGACTGCAAGTGCAATTGTTTTGCTTGTTTTCGTTTCTGCGAGCCAACTCTCGTTTACTTACTCCTAGAATTCGTTTCTGGTAACACATTTAAGGTCCTCTCTGGCATATAATATCTTTGCTAGATGTTATTTCTGTGGACCTATTTTATTATTTGTATGAGTATGATTTCTACGATATCACCCCTCAAGTCAAACTATGATCCAAATTGGCCTTATACTAACTACTAGTGTAACCCGTGCCTACGGCCGGTACTTCACTATTGCAGTTGAAATGCAAAAGTATAAACCCGCCTATTATATTCGCTCAGTCCAAACATACCGCAATTTAATTCTGAGTGCCCCTCATGTATCTAATAGTAATACTTGATAGTCAATCTTGAAGACCACTGCCAAATTACCTAATTATATCGCAAATCTGTTATTAGGGGAGAGAGAGCGAGAGTGGGAGAGAGGGAGAGTACACACACACACTTTAGTATCACATTTTGGTCACAAAATGATCAATTAAACCACTTACCGCCAACCGATTTAAAAAAACCTTAATCATTTGGCTTCGTCAGATTTTTTCGGCACTACACCGAAAAATCCAGTCCCATATCTCTTACTGTTATCTTGATTTAACCATTCGTAAATTACAGACAGACAGACAGACACACACATTTATTGAGATTATTAGTATGGATTCTTACTCATTTTATTGCTTAATTTGCCCCAAAAACATTTTCCCTATACCTTCCCTGAAGCTGAGATGAATCATTATTCGATATTAAATCCCTTCGATATCGGTCATTGATTAAAAAATCAATGTAAACTATTCGCTAAGTAGAACCCATCTGCTGACAAATCTTCCTATTTTGCAATAAACTTTATTATGGTACATAATACTGTTACAGTACATTTACAGTACTGTTACATATTGCTGTATTATCACGTCATAACTTATCAAACATACAGGTCTTTCGACTTTCTCAACACAATGCATCACAATTACTCATTCGCAATTTCAATCGGGCACTTTGCCTAAAAGGGTCATCGGCTGAGCAACTTACTCGATGTTGGAACTTGACAAACATTACATATGCTTGGGGCCGTGAACCTCTGATGAACGGAAAGCGTGCATAATATAACCGTGCATAATTTCGAGCGTGTGAATAATAACCGGTAAACTATAAAAATTGCCACACCATAATTGTCGTGAATATTGCATCAGCTGCACATTATTTTATTTCAAGTAACAATTATTAAGAAATTAAAATATTCTTCAGAAAATTATGCATTGCAAAGTGTCGGACTATGGATAAGACTAGGAGTAGAAGCAATCAACATATAATAAAACGAGAAGACAAGTCACTAGCGGACTTAAAGTTTCACGAAATGAATAAATGATCGATTTATTAATTTCGTGAAACTTAAATTTCTTTAGAATTTGAGTTCTATCTGTATTAATGAATTAAGACTTTAATGTAAGTGCAGATTATTTTCCATATCATGGTTGAGCCCCTGTATCAAAGGGCACTTTGACTTAGTTAATTGCGTGAAATGCAAAGTAACAATTTTACATGTGCTATAAGTGAATAAGTCATATTTTTGCCTGGAAGTAACATCGACGCATGAAACAGTCATCTTCATTATCACGTCTATCAAACCATTCGCAAAGGATTGAATTCCGGGTGTGCTAAATCACTCTACAAAAATAGTCACGTGACAGTCGACTGTAATCATCATCCATTGAATTCTGCATCAAGCACCAACACGCCACATGGTGTCCAGTTGAACTTTAAAAACCTTCACATGCCTGAAGTCCACCTTCCTCATTTTCGACTCCTCTGCTTCCCCGTTTCCAATACTCTCTTGTCTCCTCCCCCTAGCCGTGGGAGAGACATGAACAAGCCGTGAAGATCTGCTCCTCGCTACCCGCGCACGTGGGGACCATGATTATTTTGTTCATTGTTACACAGTCTTTAAAAAGCAATTGTTAACAATTATTAAACTGCGATTCTGAGCACGCGAAATGTTTATTGGCGTGCAGGGAGCTTTGTTAAACACAGCGTTATAAGTAGACTTCTCATTTGTCAGCGACCATGTTGATTGTTGAGTGGCTCCAACTCGTGACACCCCGCAAACGGCTATTTCCACCTAACTATCAGTCCAACTTCCAATCCTACTGGTTCTATTTATAGCGTTATAGTCAATAAAAAACAAGGTTTTATCACCTTTAATTTAAGGCGCTTGATGCAATTTTGTGATTTGTTTATATTGATTTTCGTGCATCAATAAGTTATGAGTCGCTTTTCTTTGCTTAACGATAACATTGATTACTTATGCTGTAATCCGTGTGGCGTTTCTAAACAACAGTTATAGCAGAGATCATGTTTAACTTTCGTTTTGAAGTAGGTTGCCGAACGAGATCGTATTAATTACTCGCTTTTACGCTTTAAAGTAACACTTTCTGTCATGTCGGACCGAGATACATTAGTTCAGGTAAGTTTACGCTTTTGATTATAGTTTTAATGTTAATGTTACTCTAGAGTTTATCTGGAGTTCTATCAGTTTTACTTATCTTTAAAGTATTTATCATGTATACTGGAGAGATTCCAGACATTAGCCGATGTCTGCTAGCGGTGACGCTCGCTTGATGTTATGTTCTCTCATTGCAACATCCTTAATTCCTCTCCCCAGATCATTACAACATCCTTAATTCCTCTCCCCACATTATTTTTTCACAAACAGGGTTCAACAGAATTAAAAAGGATTTAACATATCGTAATCTAATTTTATGTTTTGTGCTGGGAGACTCAATCTGCGAAAATTGTTTACAAAATTGTCTGTAAGAACTAAGATTCCAGTCCGTTCCAAAAATATGACAGTCTGAAGCCTGTATCCTCAGTCGTGTCTTTTAATTGTTTACGATAGTACAAATTGTGATGTGCATATACCCTAGGACCCTGGATCGTTGGCGACTGATATGCTGAAGAAACGTCTGGATGAAGCGATTCAGTCTAACAATACCTTGAAAAAAGAGAACGGGGAACTTAAAACAAAGGTAACTTTATTTCCTAATCCTTCGGTATCGAAGTTGAAACTGCTCACAAAATTCTATAAGAATCATTATTGCACGGTACGAACTTTAATACAATAATTAATATGCTTATCTAGCCGACACATTTGCTTGGTCCTATGAGAATTATCGTATAAACTGAAATACTGGCCTCTACGTTCTCGAGGTTTTACTGACACAGCAATATCATACACAGACACTCCCAAATAAGAACTAACATTTCCTGCCGATAAATTTAAAACTCACTTTTCACATCATGATAAAGCGCTTCTCCCTGCAGTTGGCCCAATGTTTAACCCCTGAGCAGACGAAACGGTTGAAGAACGATAATAAACGACTTGTGGGGTTGACAGAGCGAGTCAATGCTCAACGAGCCATTATGGAGGACAGGTTTAAGGAGAAGAAGGCTGAACTAGTGGAACTGGACAAACAGATGGCTGCAAAAAAGGTGTGAATTACTTAGAAAATGGGGTCTAAAACTAATCAGTCAATCGTTCGTTGAGAGTTGAGACACAACTCTTCATGATAAGATAGAGTTCATTATTATAAAATATTCATTATCTCTCAGGAAGAGCTTGCTAATATTGTAGTCGATAGAAACAAACTAAAAGGACTCGTTGAAAGCGTCCTAGCAGAAGTTGCCAATCAGAGAAATGAAATAAAAGTTCTAAAAGATGGAAAGTCTTTTGCAGACTTTGTTGAGCTGAAAAGGCAGATAAAAGAGTTAAAGGATGAAAATACTGTTTTGACTCAAGGACTACAGTCCGATCGAAAGGTGTGTTTCTGAATTTTACTGTTTTACAAAAAACTTTTCCCTAACCCTCTTTGTTGGTTGTAATGGTGTAATGGTGTAATAAGCTTATCTCCATCTTACACTGCAATTCCCAGGGCAGTCTTTACTTCAATCTGAACGACCTAGCAACAATGTTGCACCTCAAACAAGGCACAACTATAGAAGCCTTATCACAACGGCACCAAAACCAGAGAGTGTTGGTACTGGACGAGAGGGAGTTGGAAGAGAGTATAAGAAAGGGGGATCACAGCACCACTGATCAGGCACCTCCTTGTTGTAGAGAGTCACCCAGTCCCAGGACTCCCTCCGCTCACAATTGTGGTGGTTACGGTGGATTGCCCAGGTGAGACACCGGTGATTTACAGTGGGATAGATAGCATTAGTATGAGAAAATTCTGTATGAGAAAATTATAATACTTTAATTAATGAATGGATATTACTATAATGAAGACTTTTTTGCTCGTATTTGCAAATTCATAGTGCCTCTTTATAGTACTAGTACTACATGACCATGATGAAATATAATTTCATCACAGTAGACCGCTCACAAGCAGACAGTCCTCGGTGAACAGAATCAACTTCATCTCCCCTCCTCGCTCCCTCGTTTCCTCGCCCCGTGTCTTCTCCAGACAGTGTTCCAGGGAGAAATCATCAACCACCTGGAATGGATCCGGTACTAAAAAGTACAGTTTCAATGTTCCTTGTGTTCATTGACTGGTGCATGGTTTATCTTCCTGTCTTTCTCAACCATTTGAATTGTGATCTTTTCATTTTTCTTATCCATGTGCTTAAAATCGTGTTTAAAATGAAGAATGACCTGAGTAGTAAGAACAAAATCCTATTCTTTTAATTAATTTAGCCAGACGATCTTTTCAACATTGGGAAAATTACAAACTTTCCATCTAATCCCAGTAGGGAACAAGACGACGAATCAGAACCATTTCACCGCAAAACGACGGTCTTCTCCAAGATGGCCTTCACTAAGCGAATTAAACGAGCGATACCAATTAGCGTGGGTACTTGTTATTTATTTGATATTCTGGTAACTGGTATATGGAAGGTTTTTATTTTCTATTAATATTTGCGTTTATCACTGACGAGTGACGAGATTCTGATTTGGTTCATGGTTACTTCTTTACGGTCTTCCATAAATGAAGCACATCATATCATGATGCCACTTAGTTATGTCTTATAATTTCATTTTATAAGCTCATTGTGAAACAGCTCAGTTTCAATTATTCTCCAAAATATAACCCGCTATTTTCAGTATGCAGGGGGGCTGGATAGCGAAGCCGTCTATCGAAGAAGTCTCGGAATATATAAAAAATCGACAAAGTGAGAACTGACTGTAAACGAAGCCAGCCCTCTGTCATGTTAATAGTTGGGTTTTGATAAATATCACGATTCCTAATCATCGCAACGGCAACGCTCTGTTCTGAAAGTTATATTAACGGGCTAGTTTCAGATAAATCGCCGAACTGTGTTGTTACAATGTTACAAAAACTTGCCGTGGATAACCGATTACAGTGTAAAAGTAAACAATTAGCAGACTGGATAGTTGCAAGGTCTTTAGTTTCTTCGTCCCCTATAATATAGGCTATATTTTGAATTATTGACCTAATAATCATATGAAGACTTCATCTGCAGCTCTGCTTACTGGGCGGCGCTCAGCCTGTCATTCCGCCGAATCTCTATTCGGCGGAATCTATGTTTATGAACATTATAGCCTGGCCTGGGGTCCCCAGGTAACAATCACTTGATGTTACATTAGAACGCGTTAATCAATTCTTTGCTGCGAGAAGTTATTGTTTGATCTTGAAATTTTGAAGTGTTTTACTGAAATAAAAAGTCATGACTTGTGTTTTTGTGGTTGTTTCTGTTAAACTTTAACTCATTAAAGACCGCACGTGGTACTGGTAACAACTTAAATGTTTAAAAAGCTAATCTCCACACAAAAATTCGATATGCAAACTTCAGTGCAAAACTAACAACGATTACTTACAGTTACACACATTACTGCTAAAATATATTGCTATACTAGTGCTATGGTACTAGTGCTATACTACGCTTTGACTCAGCATGTACTTCTAGTAATTACAATTTTCGAGTACAGTCGCGATCTATCTTAACGGGTGATACTCGTCTATCCTACTCCTAGCTGCGCCCATATACTGCATACCAGTATGAGTATGCAGTTATCATTTCTTTCATAGTTATTTCACACAAATTTTCCGCAATCAATATTGTAGGTTTGATCAGATCCATCTCTTGCTCTAATGGCAGAAAATTTGCTCAAGTAAACTCCACGTCCCATTTTGCATATGCAATATGACGCAATTAGGAACCAGTGCTACCATTTATATAGTTACACGCTAGTCCGGCCCTTTGTAGAGCTCACAGGTTGACTCTTAGCTGTACTGCCACTGGGACGCCGTCGCTCTTTTATTGATGACAATAGCCGCGAAATTGTTATTGATCTATGTACGATTACAAGATACGAGATCTTTTAATTTTATTATAACGTGTTATATCTTCATTTCACCTAACCATGTGCCTTTTGACACACCTGTGCCTCTTGGTACACGCTGTATACCTCTTTTCGCGCGCGGCCCGGCAGCCGAAGTTGCCATATAACGGTCAACGTGTACTTGTAGCAATGTGCCTTCACGTATTACGTTGCTACACAGACACCACAATCTACATGTTGTATACTTCTTATTTGCAATATAGTCCCCCTGTGACGAGTTCGATTGTTTATGGATCGGGTTATATATATTATGGATAGCTTCGGGGTTGTGTCTTGTACTTGTAGCGCGATGCGTTACTGGGCCGCATTGATTCACGATGCCAATCCTTCGCAGCTCGGCGAGGCCCAGTAGTGCATCTCGCCGATCTATCGAAGTGTGGTTGCGAGGAGCATTATTTGATACGCGGCCCAGTAGTGGCAGTGCATCGCACTACTATTGGGCCGCGCCGCGCATTCAATAATGCTTCTCGTTAGATCGGCGAGATGCGCTACCTCGCCGAGCTGCGAAGAATTGACATCGTCAATTAAGCTTCGGGGTTATATGCTATATTATATATTAGGATTAGGGTTTATGAAAAACCGTTTAGTTCGGCTGCAAAACCCTAAAAACCAAGATTTTACACATGTTTTCTAGAACCCACATTTGAACAGATATTGAGTTGTTAATCACAGAGCATATGTAGATTAGGTTTAACTTTGATATAAAGTATTATAATCTAAAAATAATGATATTTGACCCGTTTATGGGCGTATGCCCAAATATGGCCATATATTTTTTGCCCATAACTCAGCCAATTTTTGTCCAATGTTGACCAAATTTACATACGACAGATTGGTGTCCAGGAGAAAAATAACATAAAAACGTGAACGACCTCTTCACAAGGAATACTACTGTCTAGTAAAAATAAAATTTTAAAACAAAATTACTAAAAAATGGTCGTAGCTTATAATATCCATACATTCAGTCAAATAGCTATTTGCGTAGTGCCGGTATCGTGGCAGTATCTGGAATGCACTTGAGCTTTACTTAGGCAGGAAGGGTATTAGGACGTTCGGTAATCGGTTATATAAGTATTCATTTCCAGCATATCAACCAAGAAAACTTAATACTGTGTCATTATATCCCATTATTCGAAACACACTAGCTTGCATGTAAATTATGCAGATATTAGGTGGCCCGGAGGGGACTATTTGTTACATCGCATCGGACTTATTGAAACGGGTGTATATGTAAAAAATATATCCTGACAGGCAAACAATAACAATCGGAAATAATACTTTAAATTATTTGTCATCATAAGAAAAATGCCATAAAATCAAGACTAAGAGCAGCTAATTCCTAAATACACCATTTATTTGAATCAAAAATTTTCATCGAGAATTAATCAAAATTAATACCAACAGTCAACTCAATCGATATCACGAGAATGGGATAACGTCTCGAGTCTGAGATGACGTATTTCAATACAAAAAATATCATTTCTATCAAAATAATAAACAGGGACCATCTCATTCTAGGGACGCTCTATAATTCTTCCTTAAACATACAACACTGTCCAACAACAACATCTTCAATCTTCTCATCAACATAAACATGGTCTGTTGCCATGGAAACTCTGTCAGCATGGTTTCTAGGAGTACAACTCGACGTATTCGATGTAATTCCCTGGAACGAGCCCGATTTCGTTGTCATTACGCTTGGCTTTGACCCAGCCAGTTCCGTTGTCCTCGACTATGGAGAGAGCTTCTCCCGCCCAGATATCAAGCTCGTCGTCGTGTTGAGCTGGAAGTGTCAGAAATAATAATACAACTAAATTCTTAAAGCTTGTGAGGGATGGGAAACTTTGAGACGCAAACATTTCAACAGAAATTATAGTCTCAGATATACATACCAACGTAATCGTAGAGTACAGAGCACTGGTTATTCGCTGATAAGCCTGTAACAGGAGCACTCGGAGGCGGTACGTTGTTGTCGGGTACTGAAAATAGCAGAATATTAGGTTTTAATCAATTTGATCAGAACAACTTTAGCGCGAGAATAGTGCTATTTAATATCTTAAATAAAATGTGCGAGTAATCAGACAAAGGAAAAAATCCTCGTTTGATAAAGAAAAAAAGCGAACTCACGGAAAATTAAAAGATTTAAAAACCCGTACCTTCATAACTACCTTCATAATAAGTGTCGCTGTTGAACTCGTTGGTAGTCGGAGAAACTGGGTCGAACTCGTTCGGAGACATTTGGTCGGGTGGAGGCAGCTCAGCGTCGCCAGACTGACGGAGGGGTTGAGTTGAGGAATGTGACGAGAATTATTAAGGGGGGGGGGGGGGGGGGAGCTGGAGGGGGCACCCGAGTTTTGGAGTTATCTAATATTTATCAAATTTTTTTACTCGATAATAGTGATGTTAGTTAAGCAGATTAGTATAACAGCCGAGTTGGACACCCGTGAAACAGCATTTGTACCATAAAAAGCGTAAATGTTCAACCCAATTATAACTATTAAATTGAACTTGATCTAAATGAGAGCTGAAGATATTGATTCTATATAAAATATAATGTAATCTCAATGAAGAAGTCGTCTGCATTGCAAGTCATAGTCAGCGTGGTCAGCAATGTCAGCCTACAAACAACAACACCACGTATAAGGATTTTACTATTAGGAGGAATAGGACATTTAGTACACACTACACGAGAGCCAGGAACAATGTTAATTTACCTCAATAAATTCGAGTAAAATTTACTCGCCTCACATCGTTTAACCTTGCAAAAGTTAGCAAATAAATGTGCTTTTCAGCTTTTCATGCTGTAAACAATTGAAGTAGCCTTAAATTTTTAAAAGAGCCGGTGCTTAACGCGTAGATCTACCAGCAAGGGCCTTACTCTTTTTTTGCTAGCTCGATGGCTTCCTGATCGTCTAAGTTTGGCAAATCTACTAAAGGCATCGGTGAGGGCTGATCGTGGGCTCGGCTGAAGACACGATCACAGTGATTTAATGAACATGTAACAAAGTTACAAACAAACACGTGCTATATACAAATTACTTCACAATTTTGTCTGTCAGATAAAATTGCGACCCCACAATAGTTGAAGGTGCTCTTACAAATTCGTCGTCAAGGTCGTCAAGATCGTCTTCAGTGGCGTCAGGAGAGTAATGGGCAACAGAATGATGACTTTGAGAGCCGTGAGAATTGTGCCGGGATACTCCCAAGTTCTGTAGTGTTACAGTAATAGTCAGTTTTGTATTGTTTCTGTATAGTTATAGTCAGTTTTGTCAGAATAAAAGAGTTTTACCATTCAACTGTTCAATGACAGTATTTCAAGCGCTGAATAGCATTATCAAACGTTGGTCAAAGTAAAGTTTTTAAAAGCGAAATAGAACTCACATGACTAGCGGATACATGAGAAATATGCGAAACAGATGATGTTATAGAGACAGCATCCGCTTGTAAATGCGATCCAATATGGGGTTTATCTGGAGCTGTCTTGTCCATCAGTGCCGCCAAGTAACACTAAGAATAAAAGTGTTAGTAACACTAGAAATTAAGGTGTTAGTCAATGTAAACAGTAATTGAAAACCTCATAAAAGGACGGTTAGTCATGGTATATATATATATCGAAGTCGCTGTTTTCACAAACTTGATTTATCTATTTAATACAAAATATAAAAGATCAAGGAACCCCTAAATTCGAATATAAATACCTTAACATAATCCTACCTGATATTTATACAGTTCCTCTTGCAATCTCTCCAGCGTCTGAGTGATATCATCCATTTGTGATCTGCTGTCCTCCATAGCTTCCACACTGCCTAACTCCGGTTTTTGAGAGTATAGCTCTAATATTTCTTCCAGAGCACCCCGAGCTTTCAGCTGTATATTAATCTTACCCTGCGAAAGAAAAATAATTTAGTAGGGGAACGAGCTTATATTGTGGAATCTTCTCTTAACAATCAATTGACAGGTGAAAATGAGAAAGTATCTCCAAATGCCTGGACCGACCTCAATTTCTTTAATCTTTTCTTTGAAGGCCTTTTTTCTTTTCTCTGGAGGCAAGTTTTCGAGACCTTCCTTGTTAACCTGAGGTCATAGTTGGTTAGAAATCTCGGAAATTTGGGGAAAATTATTAATAAAAATATCACGGAATTAAATTGAGGCTATTAGCAAGCATCTATCAAATCAATCATTGCTGTGTGCTAACCTGAGGTATGGTCATTTAATTAACAGCAATTTTTCAAGAAAACAGCGCAGCTTCCAATGTTTTAGGAGCAAAAAATCTAATATAAGCAAGAACAAGTTATATGTAAGTTCAATTTCGTTGTACAAAGACAGCTGCAGAATTTTAAAATGCTACAAAGATGAAAAAGGAACATGCATATAACAGATAGTTTGCTTCATTTATCACGAGTATTACAGCATTACATAAGCTTACCGATTCAGAGCTACCGCCAACATTCCTCCCAAATATCTTAACGAAAAATAATAACCGTGAGAATTTATTGATAAGTGTGATGTTGACAGGTCTTATCGCATTTCAAAATTTATGACATTGAGCATTTCCAAATACACGTACATTAATGACATCTGTGCCTTGCAATTGGAAATTGTGGAGGTTCGGTGGTTTCCGCTATTTTGGAAAGTTATCGCACGAAAGTGAAGAGGGATTTGTCAAAATACGGAAGTAGTTTAAGTCATAGCACTAAACTAAGTCAGAACTACAATAAAATTACGCGAAATGGTAACGTAATGGTAATATGACGTAGAATCAAGAATCATAACGTAAAGCTTTCTAGCCACACCATAGAAGGAACACTCGTGCGCAAAGTGCTCACAATATAAGTTTCAGTTATAAACGCGCATGTGTTAGAATGCTCACAACAAGTAGACCCAGACGCGCGCAGCACAAGCGTTCCTGTTACGCCGGTCATGAGTTTGGAAATTGGCTTGAAATGTAATAGGGACAGCCAGTCGTACAAATTATGGCATTAACTGGCTACCTTAGCTAGGAGGTTAAAATTTAGGGATTACTAATTTCAGCAAGATCGAACAATCGCGAAAAAATTCATGCAAACATTCGGCGAGAGATAGACACGAAGTCATTCATATGAACACGTGCTAAGCTACAACAACAACAAATTTTAGATCGTACATTTTACAAAGAAAACGAAAAACATCCTGAAAATCTAAATATTTTATACCTTCGTTTTCTTGCGATCTCGCTTAGTTTTTCGCGTTGAATTATTGTGCGAACCAAAAGCTGAGGGGGGAGCTTTAGAATTCCATTCCATAAACATATGGTCCCCAGGGTAAGGCTGATTACTTCGTTCTTCCATCAACAGTTCGCTGTCCTGATGGTTGGATTTATAATCAATTGATTATTGGAGCATGTGACTGTGTGTATTCGCTGATTAATGAAGTTTTTGCGCGGGAACTTCAAGCTGTATTATAAGAAGCCTACATGTATATTATAGCTCAGAGACATAGCCGCTGACAGGTTTTGAAATGTGTTAAATTTGGTCATGACGTGATCTGATTTTGATTACTGGGGAGTGTTCCCAAGTAAACGGCATTTCGTATGTATCTTATTTTGACGTTCACTTTTGTGAGATTAGGATCTGTCGTTACTCAATTTGTTTGTAATGACTATCTTACAAAATAAAACTTTGCAGAACTTGGAAATTATCGGTTGTCTCGGTTAAGGAATCTAGATATTATGCAAAAATAACCTCTCCGGGGGGTATCCCCCCTCTACCGGGGGTATTCTCCCCTCTCCTGGGGGTATCCCCTCCCTCTCCCGGGGGTATCCTCCCTCTCCCGGGGGTATCCACCCTCTCCCGGGGGTATCCACCCTCTCCCGGGGGTATCCCCCCTCTCCCGGGGTATCCCCCCTCTCCCGGGGTATCCCCCCCCCCCCCCCCCCCTCCTCGCCCTTTTTCACATCTACTCATAAGAAATTGTCCAAAGGTGAGTTGTACAAAAGTTGCTACACTTTCATTAGTATCACCATGATTATAAGAACAGCAAGACAGGCTGCTCAAAGTTAACTTTAGGATCCCCTGAAAACTATAATATCTAACAATTAACGGAACTGTGACGTCACTTTGGGAGCAAGTTGTCCAACAAGGATATACATATTTCTCTTGTGAATTAGTCAGAAGTTCGCAGTTCTATGGTATTGGCAATAATGGAACGACATCTTTACTCTTTTAAGAACGTCTTGCTCAACAAAATTGGTATCTCTTTTTACTCCTCTTTTAGACTCAGTTTACAGGCTTCCATACGTATAAACACGTACAAAGACATATTGCCCCATATTTTAACATATTTCAACATATTGCACTTGAGACATTACTCATTCAGTGTTAGAGTAATCCAGCTGTGTACAATGTACATTCTATCTAAGAGCTGACTGTCAGTTAACTGCTAACTCAAATTCAGGTTTTTATGTAGAAAAGGTGGATCTGTGAGCTTGTCAAAAATGGAGAAGCTAAAATTTAACAAAATATGGGCGTGGTAACCTCACATTTTTGGTCACGGGCCCTAGTTTGTTGATCAACTGCTACATCGAAATCGGAATTTGCAAAAAATCAGAGTAAAATCTAACTTTTCAAAACCATCCTGTTCACATACCTCGGCAGGGCTTATCTTCTCGCAACTCTCCGTCATGGTTTCAATACACGTGGTGATATGAGGCAGTATGGAACTCTGTATGTTACAATGTTCTATCAGGATGGACTTTAGCTCTTCTATTCTGTTCTCTTCACAGCGCTGCATCTGGTTTATTAGACCTGGCCACCGCCTGTAAGATAGTGGGATTCAAATTAACGCAGTAATTAGACTAAGAAACATATGTTGTAAACGCATGACATGCTGTGTGTTTTCTATACATTCCAATACATTTCTCATACGTAAGATATTTCTAATGGTATATTGAATAAATCTAGACATTACAATCATTTCAGGTCTTTAATCTGTTATAAGCTGGTGTTTTGGGTCACGGCCAGAACCCTGGGTCCCTATCGGAAATGCTCCAGGGTCCCAACCTAGCTGTCACCACCACCATGCCCTGGAGCAACTCTGGCAGCTAGCCCATTGTGAGACTAGCGTACTGGGATAATGCTTCACACATGTGAGTGAGTCTTTTGTTCCTCGATTAGCTGACATTACTGACATTACTGATATTACTAACCAGGGCATGGGTTTAGTGGTGACTAATGCTTACAAGAGAGAGAGAGAGAGAGAGAGAGAGAGAGAGAGAGAGAGAGAGAGAGAGAGAGAGAGAGAGAGAGAGAGAGAGAGAGAGAGAGAGAGAGAGAGAGAGAGAGAGAGAGAGAGAGAGAGAGAGAGAGAGAGAGAGAGAGAGAGAGAGAGAGAGAGAGAGAGAGAGAGAGAGAGAGAGAGAGAGAGAGAGAGAGAGAGAGAGAGAGAGAGAGAGAGAGAGAGAGAGAGAGAGAGAGAGAGAGAGAGAGAGAGAGAGAGAGAGAGAGAGAGAGAGAGAGAGAGAGAGAGAGAGAGAGAGAGAGAGAGAGAGAGAGAGAGAGAGAGAGAGAGAGAGAGAGAGAGAGAGAGAGAGAGAGAGAGAGAGAGAGAGAGAGAGAGAGAGAGAGAGAGAGAGAGAGAGAGAGAGAGAGAGAGAGAGAGAGAGAGAGAGAGAGAGAGAGAGAGAGAGAGAGAGAGAGAGAGAGAGAGAGAGAGAGAGAGAGAGAGAGAGAGAGAGAGAGAGAGAGAGAGAGAGAGAGAGAGAGAGAGAGAGAGAGAGAGAGACATGTTTACACAGATCTAATGAGTGTTTTTAGGAACGATTATAACTTAACACGTGTAACGTTATCTTTACATATAATTATATATACCACATATTATAACGATGTCTACAAATGACAATATGCTATATATAATGTAACTTACATGTATCACTTTACATTCAATATTTTGACAGTATTCATGAGTTATCTATCCAGTAATTGGCGCATTATAATTTATCCCATATTTTGATAGTTTAGAAAATATGTTTATCATTGTTTAATAAAATGGCGTTAGTCTTATATCGAAAGTCTACTGTTCACAAAGTCTACTGTTCGACATTATCAAAGAACGGGCACCACAATCACGGGTCTTTGTGTTTTTAATATTTGAATAGCTCACATAAGGAATTTGTACGTGAATATCTTATAACCAACTAAGTACTTAGGGTTTACATTTAAATTGTCAACACATTTACTTTAGGATACGCCTTCATGACCATTAATAGGAGTAAGGAAAAACTTCTATATTTAAGACTTACATATATTGCCCAAAGAGAGTATGTTGTCAGGCAATTTCGGGTCATATTCTTCGCATATTTTGCATATTCCAGATGAATACCAAAAACTATTTATGCACATAAATATGGGAGATATATAAATAGAACATTATACTTACTGGTGGTAATATTCGTGTTGATTGTTATTAGTTGTTTCAACAGCGATTATATAATCGCCCTTAGACTTCTCCATAAGATCCTGTCTGTAGCTCATCTGTGATCGTGACTGGGAATAAAATGTTAAAAATAAAAACACTTTTTAAAACTGTAAGGTTATTGGAAACACTTTTTGATATAAAATACTCAAGAAGTAGCGATTTATTGGCAGGATGAATACACGAGAACGTTTCAGTTATAATCAGCATAACATGTCCTTACAGAGCATAATCTACTGAGATAGTTATGTTATTTGGTGCTGCATTACAGCTCGGGATTACAATAGAAATTCAAGGGACTATATTATATATATACTATACTAGGGGCTATTCTCGGCTATGGTATGTTAGCACTCTCGCGTGCTTCTGACTGGAACATTTGACTGTTCATGTTATGTAATAAAAGTACTAACTTATTAGTTATTACTTTTATAAAAGTATAAATACTTTATGTGTACACGCGATTCTGAGATGACAACCCTTGTAAAGATGTACACGCCAAAAAGTCTACAGGAATTATGGTATAATCATAATTGTTTACAGTAATTAGATTTATAACCAGATGGTCCTATTTAGCAGTCTAAATGATCTGAGTACATAAAAAGTACAGTATTAGTAAATATTTAATGTAAATCAGTAAATAAAAGCTGATAATTATATATGGCTGTGCAGACTACAGCCATACACAACATTTACAATGATTAACTGACATACCCTGAACCTAAGTTCCACAAATATGTCATTACATCGTATTATTAACATTACATAATATTACATAATGCATAATATATCGTGATGATGAATAACCACATTTGACATAATCTTGTATATAATGCGAAGTATTACAGTATAACACACCCTTATCTTGAGGATGAAGTCATGCTTAAGATACAAACTATTGCGCATTCCAATTCGTCAAAAACCAAAAGAGTGATTATTTGAAAAACACTGGAATTCTTATAAAGAGTAGGTGAAGATTCCTTCATTGTGTGGTACATTCCCTACATTATATGGTTTAGAATTTGTGTAAGTTGTAATGTCACGTCATGGATACAAACATTCCAAAGGGTCAACACAAAATGTTGTCTGGTTGCAGATCTAAATTATGCGTTCGAACATAATCTATGTTGTAATATTCAGAAGCATATGAACGTACACATATATTTTAATACACCCATATATTTTGATTGGCCAGCAGGAAATTACATTGCAAGGAAATGTGTACATTTCATCCTGCAAACGTCAATGTAAATACAAACGTGCGGAGCGTATGAGAAATTTGCAGCGTTGTTGGACGGCAGAGTCTGCACTGTTTAGGAGTGCCATTATATGGAGTGGCTATGTGCCCATGGCCATCCTTGGAGAACCCGGTGGATGTCCTTGCTGTACGGCAGTGTTAAACAACGAACTGAAACCGAGGGGTTCCGTTCAGGCCCTTCACACTTTGTTTCTGTCTATTTCTAATGTACCGTCACAATAGTGACTTTAATATATTTGACTTTTCAGATACGGTTTCTCATGGCTCAAACATTGCTTCAAATATTTCAAACATTGCTTCAAACATTTCAAACATTGGCTCAAACATTGCTTCAAACATTGCTTCAAACATTTCAAACATTGCTTCAAACATTTCAAACATTGGCTCAAACATTGCTTCAAACATTTCAAACATTGCTTCAAACATTTCAAACATTGGCTCAAACATTGCTTTAAACATTTCAAACATTGGCTCAAACATTGGCTCAAACATTGTTTCATTCGGTGGCGGCGTGCAACACTCAGGAGTGCGAATACAATGATAATTTGATTATATTTTTAATTGTGTTTGAATGAGCTAGAATTAAGATAGAATTGTCTTGAGATTAGAATCTATTAAATACAAATTAAGATTAAGTGTTTAATTAAGCGACATTGTTTTGGCTAAGCGCAGACAGTTAAGTTCAGTACTGTGATGATTTCTTTCCAATCTTACGTTAATGCAATAAGGCTATAATATGTTTTGACTCGTCACACGCTGGACTATATTCAATTGTCTCCTGGAGGTACAGCCGTGTCTCGTCTAGGTTTTAGTTTCACTTACTTTTTCCACTTGAGCTTTAGTAGCGTTCATATCATCGTTAACCCGACCGAACGCTTGCCCTGCTGCGTCGGCTTCTTTAGCTGCTTTCTCGTATTTTTGCTGATTCTGAAATGTTACCTTAGTTATTGGGCTGATTCTGTGAAATTTATTATTTTATTTAACACCATGAATATTTGAGTCCAAAATTCGAATGTTTTTGCGGGTTTGAATAAAAATTACTTCCGGTGGGCAAGCTCTTCTTTTCTCTTAACAGTTCTAAAACATAAATTTAATAGCTGAGCCTTATTTTTAGGTATTTTTAGAGATCAAGGAATTTAAATATCTATATTTAAATTCCCATAAGTGTTTACAGCGAATGGTATGACGGTATGCAGTCGTTGGAATCTTTAGCAAGATGGAATGTGTCGTAATCTAACTAATGTATTGTACTAAGAAACTCTAAACTCTTAATAACGTGAATTTAAACGAGTTCCATCCATTGAACTTTGATGAAATAAATCCGTGAATAGTGAATCGAAATAGGAAAATCTGTCGTTGAATTGGGTGACAATATAGAGTGTAACTTATTATAACTCGTTACTTATTCATATATTCAGATCTAGTTGACGAATGAGTCTTGTGTACCTACAGCGGGCGACTTGTGTTCTTCGCGGAAATTCGATACTTTAATTTCCGGTCGTGTTAGAATGATATAACTAAATTAATCAGGTTAGGCTTAAATATTATAGCCTTACGACAGTGAATCTGGCGGGGCTTGTAATGGACACAATTTACAATGTAGAACCTAGGCCGAGTTTAATGGGCTATTCTATCCAACATTCAAATGTTGTTCAAACATGTCATCAACATTGATTTAATATATGTAATATATATATACATATATAGGACCACACCCACCCACCCACCCACCCACCCACCCATGAGCGGTCATACTTGCCGCCCTCCCACAGAGAGTACAGGGAGGGAGGGGGGATTCCACTCAAACGAAACAACTATTGTTGGTCACGAAGTCTAATATATAATACATTACAAAACCATGTCCACCATTACATGTCATACAACCTGCATTTAGACCTTTACAAAGCGTCGTACACACTGTGTAACACACACACTGCAATAGTAAGGTCCACACATTAACAGTTACAATAATAGCACCCTACAAAGGAGGAGGCTGCTAGCTGGGGGGAGGCTGCTAGCTGGTCAGTACCTGCTCTGTATAACAGAGCACTGTAATAGTAGTCACACTATCACACAGTTCGCTCTCTAACAGTCCTCATGTTACGGTGGAGCGGAACAGTTCTCATGTTACGGTGGAGCGGAACAGTCCTCATGTTACGGTGGAGCGGAACAGTCCTTATGTTACGGTGGAGCGGAACAGTCCTTATGTTACGGTGGAGCGGAACAGTCCTTATGTTACAGTGGAGCGGAACAGTCCTTACGTTACGGTGGAGCGGAACAGTCCTCATGTTACGGTGGAGCGGAACAGTCCTCATGTTACGGTGGAGTGGAACAGTCCTGAGTCCTCATGTTACGGTGGAGCGGAACAAGCCTCATGTTACGGTGGAGCGGAACAGTCCTCATGTTACGGTGGAGCGGAACAGCCCTCATGTTACGGTGGAGCGGAACAGTCCTCATGTTACGGTGGAGCGGAACAGTCCTCATGTCACGGTGGAGCGGAACAGTCCTCATGTTACGGTGGAGCGGAACAGTCCTCGTGTTACGGTGGAGCGGAACAGTCCTCGTGTTACGGTGGAGCGGAACAGTCCTCATGTTACGGTGGAGCGGAACAGTCCTCATGTTACGGTGAAGCGGAACAGTCCTCATGTTACGGTGGAGCGGAACAGTCCTCATGTTACGGTGGAGCGGAACAGTCCTCATGTTACGGTGGAGCGGAACAGTACCCCCCCCCCCCCCCGGCCCCCCCCCCCCCACATTAGGAGTTCTGGAACAATCTAGATCACGTGGTATTACTGACATTCTATGTTAGGACTATTTATAGCATAATAGTCAAGAAAAGGTGTGACATTGTTGCCATTAATGTTAATCCAGAGGAGATCGTACCTTTTAGAAACAAATCCAGATTGTTCAGATTAATAATGAGTAGATCTCGCACAGCTCTCACAAGATTACCAAATACAGGCCAAGATACCGGACAAGTTACACGAAGCCTTCCAGAGTTAGAGGAAGTATTGTTCCTGCAATTAAACAGAGAGAACAGAGACTTGCACAGGCTAGGATCATCCCCAGTTTATTTAATGCAGTGCTTTAACCGTATCCCGTAGAGAATACACATTACACGAGGTTAATTAGTAGGACTAATTATCGTAATGAGGGCTGTGTGCTGGGGACTAATTGGATATATATTTGAGAGACTCTAGATTCCTAGAATGTATATGAGACTCTAGATTCCTAGAATGTATATGAGACTCTAGATTCCTAGAATGTATTAGAGAGTAGAGACTCTAGATTCCTAGAATGTATTAGAGAGTAGAGACTCTAGATTCCTAGAATGTATTAGAGAGTAGAGACTCTAGATTCCTAGTATGTATTAGAGAGTAGACACTCTAGATTCCTAGAATGTATTAGAGAGTAGAGACTCTAGATTCCTAGTATGTATTAGAGAGTAGACACTCTAGATTCCTAGAATGTATTAGAGAGTAGAGACTCTAGATTCCTAGAATGTATTCGATACTCTGGTATGTATTTGATAACCATGTGGGTGTGGTAATCTCGTATTTAGAAGATTGTGGTCTGAGGATCTCTGTAATATTAACTCTTGTGGCTTCTCGATAGTACAGCTAAAAGTTTGTGTGTAATTAAGATGTGACGTGTGCTGCTTGATGGTGCTTACACTTCTATATTACTTCAGGTACAAACATTTTATCAGATCTACATAAATTGGGTGCTGAGTAGGATGCACCAGATTGTGTAGATCATTATCACGTGATTATACGTCATTATCACGTGATTATACGTCATTATCACGTGGTTTAACGTCATTATGACGTGATTATACGTCATTATGACGTGATTATACGTCATTATGACGTGATTATACGTCATTATGACGTGATTATACGTCATTATCACGTGATTATACGTCATTATCACGTGGTTTAACGTCACTATTATGTGTATTATTAGCATATTATTCTGCTGCTTGTCCAAAAGTCAGGGCAGCAACAGATTTTGTTTGGAGAAAGCTTCTTGCAAGCTCATAGATAGATACAGACTACTACAGTACTACAGTACTACACTAACTACAGTCTACCAGTAACCAGTTTAAAGCTAAAACGACCAATTATATACTTATATAATAATGACCAATTATTTCATATTGTACTTGTGCACGAGTAAAGTTCATGAGTTAATCGCACAGTTAATCTCTTATTTCAGATGTCCATTTCCTAATGTCACTGCACTAAATCATATCAATATTAATCACATATAATAATAATTAAATAATACGCAAATACTAAATTCTCGTTCAAACTCATTCAAACTCATAATATATACATATATACACATATATATACATACAATACAATAAGTGCACTAATGCGGAGTGAAGTGTGAGTATTCAACTTAAAGAATGCAGCAGCTAGTTTACTATCACTTCCATCACTAGTACAATAACCCCTAACAACACCCTAACAACCCCCTACATACCACTGCATTCCACACATGGTTATATGAATGTCAACACGTTGTTATTTCGGGTCTTTTACTTTTATACACCAAAACAAATCAAATAATCAGAGTTAATAACACGTTATAAACGTGTTTATCTTGCAGAATAAGGGATACATATAGGGGAGGCGATGCAGAAGGGATAGAGATTGGAGAACCAGGGATTCTGGGGACATGACGTATTCGTACGGGATTTTGTGAAATGCCAACCAAGAAGACTTTCAACAGAGCTCATCTGGCGGAGGAAGCCACAAAATAGTGCTTTTAAAACTTCCAGCTGACACTTGCAAATAATGCAAATAATGCAAATAATGTGAGTGTGTTATTGAACATGCATTCCAGTCACATTCTCTCGAGGTATGCGGAAAAATGAAAGTTCTGGAAAAATGCGGGCATGTTTCCATAGTTACAGTGGAGCTCTGTATAACATATTTGTTAGTAAAACAGTCGTTTCACCACTGCTGCATCCTGCATTCACACAACAGTTAGATTTAGTTTAACACTACGGCTTCTTTGCTAAGTATTTGCAGACGATTGACAATTGCACTAATGCGGTTATATTTAGTAACCTAATTACTGTTAATGGTATATATTACTACTGTTATATTTGGTAACTTAATTAACAGTTCCCGCTTCACTAAGCCACAATTATTCTCATAATTCTCTAAACTTTAAATAAACTCTAAATAAAGTAAAAGTTTAGTTAGAGTTATTATGTTCACATGTTTCAGCAGTTAGTGAAGGAAGAAACTACAGTTTAGATACAGCGTAACATGTGGTACAATGTGTGGTAACACAGGTGTGTGAATTGTGACACTAATAATTACAGGTACAATCATGTGTACAGGTAGGGGCCTGTGTACTGTGTAGTGTGTACACACTACACAGTACACACTCTGTAGCTGTAGTGTACAGTGCTACAATCATAGTCTCACAGAACTATGTACATGTAGCAGTTATTTCTCTCATTCAATCAGACAACCTAATACACGGCTACTACATCTGTGTAATTAACACAGCTAGTAGACAGTACACGGCTAGTAGTACACAGACAGCTGCAATAAGAGAGAGTATAACTTTACCTTGACAGTAATAGCAGGTTACAGTTCATATAGTAGACAACTAGTTTACTTGTGTAGTAGACCTGTACGCCCTTACTGTACCCCTTTACTATAGGGTAAAAATACACATTACACACACAATGCATATAATGGGGAGGTTAGTGGCTAAGTACCCCCTCTACAGTACATACCTACTACATAGTACATACCAGTTACCACACTGCATTCTACACACATTTCACCAGAACACCACAGAGAGGTCATCAGAGCTGATTACCTCTGTTATCCCCCTGTATTTACATATTATGTGTAGTGTGTACAGTTAGTACACACGTTTACTGCCCACTGGCATCATTTACACGTTACCAGTCTGTTTAAACTTTAAGTTGCCAGTTTAAATTAAATATTACTATTTAGCTAAGCTACGTTACATATTATTAAGTTATATGTTAAATAATACTAACCCGCATTACAGATGACAGTGACCAGTAGTAGTAGTGGACATCAGCTCCTCCCTCCCAGAATTAGCACTCTCAATTTGAGTATAACAAGGCTGATGTACCACACAAATCATCATTACACTTGAACACACATTATAAATACTACTGTCTCATATCTTCACTATAATTGCAGACTGTCACCCGATGAGCGGGAAGCAGGAGGCTCCTAGCTACAGTTAGGGAGTTATTCACTTCTCAGCATAATACACTGTACAGACCATACTACAATATTATAATATTACTAAGTTTTATAACATTTCCTCAATTTGTATCAACTACTTTAGCGACCACGTCGATTAGATACAGACAGAAATGTTGCGATAACCCAACTTAAATACATCCTAAACCAATTATACCTTTCTGAAGGGCCTGGGCGCTGTCGTTATCTAATCTTCTCCACCGTCGAACTAAAATCGCAGTTTACGATGGCTGATTATTACAGTCTAAAAATATAATCTGTACGGACTACGGAGTCAAGTTTAACATTTTCTGTTATGGTTAATCAACACCTCACTCAGTAAAGTTAGTATTGTACTTTAAACCTTTAATGTTACATAATATTATCTTTAAACCTTTAATATTGCGTAATATTATCTTTAAACCTTCAATGTTATAAATGTTACATAATATTATCTTTCCCTGATGCTCAGCAGCCCTAGTATCAGTATTAGTAACATCTGGAGCTTTACACAGGTTTATCACTGTATCTACCGAGTTACCGACCAGTTTATAGAACTATAATGTTTTATTACAAGTTAGTTTAGATCCGTAAGTTTAGATAACTAAATTAAGCTGCATTGTCGCTACTATATTACTATTAAGTTATACTATTATTATAAGCTGCACTGTCGTTTATTAAAAACTAAAATAACTAACGTTTGTATGAGGAGTACAGACTCGAGAGTTGGAACTGCTCCTACTAAAATAACCGCTTGAGTCTGTGTAATAATGTAGTCCAATTACTACACATAGAATGTATACGTTTAAATGGGTATTGTTGGGCTATTTGTAACCCCAAGTAGTATATCGGGGGGGGGGGGGCGGGGGCGGGGGGGCTGGGGGCCGGCAGTTTAGTTTTACACTTAACAGTTCAGTTCATGTACGTGTGGGAATATTAGGGCACTTTTAAACAATGTGACATATATTATATACAGAAATGACTGTACACCCAAATACGACACACAAATAATTTACAGAATTAGAACTGAACCAGTCAGCTGTCAGATTCGTCAGAACAGCAGAAACCCGAGCAAGTCCGAGTTGTAATGAAAACGTATGTTGTGAGCGACTGGCACTGTCAAGTTCAGGTCAAGGATATTGGTGGTGTTAGAGGTGTACTGGGAATTAGACCGGAATTAGGGTGATTGGGTGTCAATATCTAGTTAATTTTGACAGTTTTACACTCGACAGGCCCTACTTCTTATTCTACCCCTTATTCTATTTCCTTGTATTAAACTGCTATGTTAATCTTCAGGTCTGAATGATGTAACAATTGTATTTCTCCGTAGAGCTAGAGAACTCAACAGGTCCTCGGTCACGTCTGTTAAGGCCAGGGGGGTAAGGGGTCAAAAAATTCTACCAAAATATTATTTTCTAAATCGATTTAATTTTTAATGACAAAAACATTGCCGCTCTTCACATATTTGTAGCTGATTAACTTTATTTGATAATTGTCCAAGGAACCACTGTACCAAACCTCAAGATCAGGGATTGGCCGGTTTTCTCAACTAAGGAATCGAAAGGTCAAAAAAGTTACAGCCGTTTAAAGTTCCAGTTTAACATGTAATTACAGGTAAACCTCAAAATTGAGCGCGCGATATCTCAGAAGCGCAAGGTCAGATTTTGATCCGGTTTTTTTCTTTTTGTTCGTCTCCAGTAGCTATTATCAAATATGCAAAAACTACAAAAGTGCCATTTCCCCCCCCCCCCCCTCTGGCCTTAACTTCATACAATCAGTTTTTACTTCTTTACTTAGTATGTAAGAAGGGAATGGTTTGAGTCGGTCAGTAACGAGTACAACTTATACTGGAATAGTATGTTAAACATGCAATATTCTAATGTTTTTCTATATTCAATGTGCACACTAAATAAAAGTAACTAAATAAAAGTAGTAAGATGATAAGAAATGGCCATTATAACTTAACAAAGCCAGGTAAACCGTGTCTCTACTAGTGTTAACCACATAACAGTTACAAAGCAGCACTCACGTCAACAGACTGGACAGAAAGGACCGGATCTTAAGACCAGTTCCAAACCGGTTCTCCAGTGGTGGTTACAAGGGCAGACCTAGACCTAATTCCCGGATTGTACAGCTAGACAATGATAGTTAACGTGTTATTATCACGATGTTATTATCACCTTATTATCCTTAATGATACGTTTTATTTATTAAGTTAATTGTAACAACTTTGGTGTCAATTTACACGAGCACATAATATAGCATGGAATAAGAGCCCTCAGAGAAAGCGGAAGGTATGATGACCTTTCCTGAATATAATTATGTAGGATGTAGGATGTAGGATAAGATGACCTATCCTGCATATGATTATGTAGGATGTAGGATGTAGGATAAGATGACCTATCCTGCATATAATTATCCATTACACGTAACAACCGAGTTGTGTGTTACTCTTTGTTCGGGTGTAAATGAGAAGGGTATGTCACGAGTTATATATTGTGTACAGCAACATTGTATCTTCCACTGAGAGATTGTAGATAAAGTGTTTCAACTGAGTATATCATGTTAATACGTGTGTACTGTGTCGTTATCCGAATCATGTCATTACACAGTGATATCTGGTTATTAAACACACATCAATAGTGGAATAGTCAATACACTTACATATTATCAGTATTGTACAGCGCAGTAAACACGAGTTGTCAGTACATTACATTGTTATGTACACTAGCGGCTATGAGATCATGTAACTAGTGAGCTACTCAGAATAACAAGTCTGTTTGTTGTTTTAAGGAACCGCGCAGTCCGCGGTACAGTGGCGGTACAGTGGCGTGTGTACTATGTTCTATAACTACCTCAGTAATGTTACATAATATTAACGATTATCTAGTTACTTTAAAGGCAATAGGGAAAGGTATGGCTGATGGGGCGTACCGCTGGGGTTTACACCAAAAATCTAATACATAAAGATATAAACTCGCCCTTTAAAAGTTGCCGAAAAGACAGATCTTTGTAGCCGAATCTCTGTACTTTACTAAGATACATACCTACACCGCCAGGTTCATGTCAAATATAAACCTTCCAACCTTCACTACTGTTACAAACTCATTATGCGCCAGTATTTCGAAATAAGTAGCTTTACTAACTGTTGCTATTACTCTTCCCAGAAAACACCGGCATATTTTACTGTTCCATCCCACATTTTACAGGAAGATTATTCTGCCGCCGCGCTGAGTCAGTGATGACAAATGTAGATGATCAACCACCGCAGTGGGTCTAATTAAGTGCGTGAGCAGAGAGAAGGAGACGGTGTGATATTGGCGTGATGCTGATTAACAATGAGTGCAAATGTGTGATGTTGATTAACAATGCGTGTAAATTATGTGTGATTGTGTGATTAACAATGAGTGCAAATGTGTGATTAACTATGCGTGTAAATGTGTGATTGTGTGATTAACAGGGCGTGTAAATGTGTGATTGTGTGATTAACAGGGCGTGTAAATGTGTGATTAACAGGGCGTATTACTATTAAGGTGTTATTATAGCAGGATATTATCAGTTCCTACTCCAACACACTGTACAGTAGGAAATGTAATCACGGTGTCAAGTTCCAATATTGTGCACACTCTCTCTCTCTCACACTGAATCGCACACTGGCATTCAGCCCCAAATCAACACATCTTATCAGGTACAGTCGTAACAGTGACGATCTTTCACATTAAACATGTCATTCTCTGTGACAGGGAAATTGTACACACGGAATACATGATTATATATTACAAGGAAATATGATGTGAAATTAAAGTTTGAGAAATATTCATTAGTCTGGGGAAGAGAGATAAGGAGAGAAAGAGATTGAATATTCTTATAAATTTATTAGAAATAAGGAGGATTTAGGATATGGTTAATTTCATCATGGTTTGGGTGGAATTAGGAATTAGACAGCTTAGAGCCCCGGTCATGTATGAAAATATTCAGTTTTAAAATTGATGAGAGCCTGACGTTATTCACAAGTTTCACTTACAAAGTTGAGAGTTTGATAACTCCAAAGTATTAAAACCACGAAATCTTTTTAAACCTCAACATAATACCACTTGTAAAATTAATCTAATCTGAAGAACACTGACTGACCCTTTCTAAGACGACTTGCCACTCCTTGTACTCATGTTGCAGCTGGTTTGCCGTGTTACACAACTGAAGATATAATTACATGTCATAATTACATAATTACATGTCATCTTACTACTAACAACTTGGGTTATCTTTACACACACTCAGGTTACACACACCTGCATATATTATGATAATTACTATGCACTCTTGACCACAGATATTCATTATTCAACTTAGATATAATTACATTTTTGCGGTTGTTGGTGGTCTCCTTTTGTACCGATTTTAACCGTTCTGCTACTTTCTCTTGAAGTCCCTCCGCAACTATTTCATGGTCCCTAGCAATCAGATCTAACTGTCCCAGGAACACGTTGTAAGCTTTTATCGTTGAGAAACTGAAATACGGGAAGTTAATAGCTTGAATATAGGTGTGATTATTTAAACAAAATGATAAAAACAGTTGAACGGACCTGACAGAAATGAATTGGCAGATAAATTAGATCATAAATTCGAAATTTAAAGTTAAAATTTTGTTTTTGTTTCGAAGATCATGCATGGCCTTTAAACAAATAATATAATGTGTATACCTTAACATTGAAGCTCAAGTCTTAAATATGACTTAAAGAAAGTAAGGTTAACCAAGTAAAAGAAGTACACTTAAAATAGAGATGTCCTGATAAAAGATTCCACAAATAGAAGTAATGTCAATATAAGTATTGCCAAGATCCAGTTTAACATTAAACATGGAAACAAACAGCATAGCCCAAAATGAGGCTTATAAAACTATAGCGAAATCAGAACATAAATTATTTCTCCGGTAGCCTAGAACCCAAGCTATTCATGTAGACAAGATAGTCTACTCTGTGCTATTCTGTGCACGGTTAAAAATGTTAATGCTCAGTGACATGTAGCTGTGCCGCCATATTGATTTCGTATGATTCCGTATAGCATTATATGTCAGCACAGAATGATACAAATATATTTGCTCTTTACTTCGGATCGTCTAGCGAGGTGTTGGACTTTCTACTAAGATTTCTGACTGACTCTTTAATGCTCGTTCTTGCACTATGAGAGCTAAATAAATCAAATAAGTCGATCAGCAGACTGCGAATAGTTGTTTCAATACATCAACAAATCAAGGTTCGATCTTAGATGATCATCTGATCTCTGGAGAAAATGGGAAAATCAAACAAATCTTATTAAGATTTTACTCACTTGCCAGCATCATCCTCAGCGTTTTTAAGTTTATACCGTTTTTTAAGGCCCCTGAAATGAGAAATACATCAAATCAGAATATTATTTAGTTATATCTAATTATGAATGAAGAAGGTTTTAGAATGGCCTAAAAGTACTAATGTTATCTGGAAACTGTTACTAACAAGATTTGGAAAGATTCATAAAAAATATATGATTTCTCAGTGGGACAAAAACTTAGTAAGGACTAAAACTTTTGATTTGAAATGATACTGAACAGTTATGAGATAATCTTCAAGAGTGAGCTGACAGCAGTCCGTAAATAATTACCTTAAACTCTTGGCATAATCTATTTCAACCTTTATCCTATCCCTGACAAATTCTTGGCATTTCTTAGTAAATTCTAGGCCATGTTCAGTGTGTTCTTGCACCCTGTCCCACTGGTCCTATATTGAATTGATTGTTAATATCATGCTAATAAGCTTTGTATGAAATAACAAGAACAAAAAGGAAAAAATTATCATTTCATAAAAATGATGCGATGGTATGATTAGAGATTAAACATTAATTTTAAACTTTAACTTGAAATCACGAATTAGATTGATCACTAATACATACCCAGAGCGTCTCTCCCCAATTCAGTTCGGACATTACATTGAAACTGTCTTCTACAAACCAGTGCTAAAAGTAGAGGTAAAATAACTTTCAAACTTCGATGAAATTAATTTGTTGAATTAGCAGGATATGTAGTTCAACTAAACTCTGGTTGAATAATCAATAATTAGATGTTCATTTGGCTCATTTATAAAAATTAGTTTATCAAAGGTTCAGTTATTTAAGTATGTGAATATGTGAAGGGAAAAGGTTGTCTAAACCAACTTGTATCGGGAACGAAATCTGAGGGAAACAATCTGTCCCTTAAAGGATAAATAACTCTTTATCCTTCTGACAGTCGTTCCTTTAACACCAGTTACATTATCAATTTCCTTTGTTGTTTTAACACTATCCATGACAAGGCATGTGGAATATATGGCTGCTTCAGCAACACTACTGGAAATAATCCCACCACAAACCCCAAATCAACAGTTTGTCTAACTACTGCTGTAGTAACAGCTTGAGCTTCGTTGTTAGGCTCACAATCTGAAGAATTCCTTGCCATATTATCGTCAGATATAATTGTCAGATTTTACAAATTTTATGTAAGTGTTCTAGAGGCAGCTCGTGGGAGCTGGCTGGCAGTTTTGTTGGGTGTCCTATCGTGAATCAACGGACTGGGGGGGGGGGGGCGGGGCTTGGGCCCGCCCCAAGGTATCCCCCCCCCCCCCCCAACTGCCGATGTCTATTCACCGATGACTGCATACAATACCATTACCATAGCAGAGAGTTAATTAGTTAATTAAATTATTCCAACGTATATTACAGTTACACACAGGGCCTCATGTATGTAATGTGTCACAGGCAACAGCAAACAAAAAAAACTTATAACATTGGTGAAACAGGACACCACATGTGTACGATCTCAGCCGCGCAGTATCATAACAGTCAATAGTTCAAATTGCATGGTGTCCTGGACGACCAAATCATATAGATTACCTGTAGTGGGATGCGCTTGATGTGCTTTGTACCGTTTACTATTAACTATGTGTTAAAACTGCAACTGCGCCTACAACACAAAATTTCACAAAGATCATGCGTGCGCTTACATTCAAACGTTTGAGTGAATAAAGAGCTTTATATTGCGGTTAGATATTTCCGAATACTATTTCTAATCACTATTTCTATTTTCAAGCACCAGCCACCAGATAACAATTTTAGGGCGTCCACGAACGCCTGGACGCCCTCAATAGCCACCTCTGAAGTGTTCAGTGAAATGAATATTACATTGACATGTGTATACCTTTCTGATAAAACTTCAGCAAAGATTTTTTAAAAGCTTTTGATAAAAAGCTAACCGGACCAGGAATAAACATCAATGTAATGCTTCGGGGATGCAAATAGGACATACAACTTTTAACCAATGCATTACTCAAACTTTTGATTCATTTTGTTAGCTCAACGTTACATGGGTAACAATACAGGACAGACAATCCTCCTTCAGTTTCATTGAGGAAATCGTACCCGCTATTTGCGTAACACATGGCAAGTATCTGGACAAATGATAACTTAGGATCCCCATCAATCATTAATTCCTCTCAGATTCCCAGGCTGCATTTTAAGCGCTTAACAGCACCAGTTTTAACTCCAGGTTCGTTCTGAACATCTCAGACCAGCTCAACTCACTAGGTAATATAGGTATTCACATTGAGTAGAACTTAGATGTTCCAGGACATGAAGGAGTATACGGTAAAGAACTAGAGGACGAATTCGCAAGGTACGATCAATCCAACAACATCCCCATAGGACCAGAACCCTTCCTCCCAATTAGGCCATACTCATTACTCAGTGACAAAGGAACATTCCACTTGAGATGTTCCTCCACAAATATAAATACAGGAAATTTAATTTTTCTGGAACTCACATCAGATGGCTAACTTGGTCGCTGTCAGGATAGGTCACAGCCCGCTAGTTTACTTTCAGAACGTGATGAACAACGTCAACTTCGAGACGCAAGATTGTGAACACTTTTCAGGAGAAGCAGAAACATCCCAGCACCATCTCTGCAAGTGCATCCAGATCATGACGCTCAGAATGAGGATGATTGGTAACAGGTAAACCCTACGGATGATCTTAACAACAGTAAACTACAACCATATCTTCAAATTTGTGGAACAGTCGACAAGACTGGATAGGGAAAACCCTTTTGGGTAACCTCCTTGGATTCTTCACCATGAACTTTCGCTTAATCCCACACTAGGAACTCAACCTAGGCTCGGAAGTCCCTTGTCTGCCCGCAGAAGTACTACAACGGAAGTGGGTTTGCTCTCAGCCAGGTAGCGACAGCTTCAAGACTCCAGGGGTCTGTTGCATTGATATTTATTATTTTATGATTTCGTATATACTTTGAGAGTCCTGGCGTGCAGCTAGCAGGAGTTGCATTCTGTGGGCACGGTGATAAAACCTCCCTCTTAAAGTAGGAGGCCAGAAACCGTTGACCAGAACAGAGAGAGAGAGAGAGAGAGAGAGAGAGAGAGAGAGAGAGAGAGAGAGAGAGAGAGAGAGAGAGAGAGAGAGAGAGAGAGAGAGAGAGAGAGAGAGAGAGAAATTAATCACTCTACACTTGACTGTCACCTAACTTTTTAAACCCGTTCTCCAAGTGGACCTGAATAATTATTCAAAACCCTAACCCTCTATATACCAATTTTATCCTAACACTAACCGAGTGAGCTAAACGGTCACGATTAGATTTCGACTGTTCTGTGCACATTTGTAAATGTTGATTTCGATTTTTTTAAATCTAGGTAAACTATAGGTAAAAATATAATATTAATCATAAGCTAAAATGTACTAATCTTTGTATTCTAAATGGGGAAAAAGAAGAAACATTGTCAGTCAGTCGAGAAAATTGTCAGTCAGGCTATATGGCAGCTTTGTAACTAACTCGAATCCTAAAGCTTAAACAGCTCAAATGTCGTTTTGCAAGCCTGTCACGTGCGCGCGTTTGACAAATTGCAAATTGCGCTGCTACTAAATCGCTCGCCCAAATTTTAAGAAAATTCTTGTGAAAAGGCCCTCTATGTATGAAATTGATCTTAATCGGTGTATTTTTGGACGCTGATTCCGAATCACCCCCATGACGTAGGGTAAAATTATACTTCCCTGGAGAGTTATGGGCAGAAACCGTTTTGGTCACGTGACAGGCTAGTAAAACTTACTGGGCCGCGCTCAGCCTGTCATTCCGCCGAATCTCTATTTATGAACATGATAGCCTGAGGTCCCCAGGTAAAGTAAAACATGAATTCGATTGTTTCAACCCGGGTTAGGGTTAGGGTTGTGGTAAGGGTTATGGATAGCTTCGGGGTTATGGTTAGGGTTAGGGTTGGGATTAGTGTTTATGTAAAACCGTTTTGTATTGACGGATGTTACTCGTCTCAATTTCTTCGATGTTCAAAGTAGCGCGCGCCGCTTTCTTCTCGATGGCAAGTGCTACGAAGTAGCGCGCGCCGGGCCAAATCATTAACAATGGTCAACGTTTTGTACGACTGCAAAACCATAAAAACCAAAGTCACGTGAAATTTTTGGGCGAGCGAATTAGTAACAGCCGACAAATTGGTTATTTGCTCATAACTCGTCAAGAAATGATTAAATTATCATACTACGTAATAGGTTCACATAGCCATGTGTATACGCTTGTTTCACAAGTAGAATATTTATCGGTAGAATATTTATGTTCATAATCAATAGAGATTCGGCGGAATGACAGGCTGAGCGCCGCCCAGTAACAGTCAATCACGTAATATACTATGTCAGGAAGTTGGTCTAATTTCTTGTTAAGCATTAAGGTTAGGCGGGTTTCAGCAAACATGCTTTTGCTATAGGGATTGGGTTGGAATAAAATTAGAGGGTTAGGTTTTAGTCGAGTAGTCGTTCAGGGCCAGCTAGAGAACGGGTGGAAAAAGTTACGTATAGTACGTGACAGTCAACTGTAAAGTGATTGATCATCATCCAACCTTATGCTACTTCGAATAAATTTATACGAGTTTCATCCGTCAAAGGTATAATGCATGGATAAAATTGTAAACATACAAGTTAGAACAAGCGCTTACTTAACCCGCTTACACTGCTTACTAGCTAGGTAAGGGTGCACTACTGGTCCGCGCCGCGCATCAAACAGTATTTCTCGCAATTCGTTGGAGGACTTCGCCGCTTCGACGCGCAAACTATCATTCTTACTTTATACTTCGCATCGAAACGTTGCTCTGTTAATTCGCAGAGCAACGATCTGGAAGGGTTGACATCATCATTCAAGAAATTCGTTGTAGGTTTACAACCTACCAGGACGCGTGCCGAGTTGGACTCGTCGACGGTCCCAATATATGGAACAGATATTTTACGAGTATCACCCGTTAAGCAATTCGTTATAATTAGATCGGTGCAATGCACCAGTGGACCGCGCCGAGCTGCGAAGGGTTGACATCGTCAATCATGAATCACATATCAAAGTGATTGGTAATGCTAAATGCATATAATAGATTTGATTGACGATGTCATGTTGCATGTCAATCCATCGCGCCGATCTAACGAGGAACATTATTTGGTGCGCGGTGCATCGATGGCTGTTAAGGTAGAAAATAAAAGAACCGTCCTGAATGTTAAAAATTTCGTGGTTAATAATAATTGGACAGGGAGATTTTTATATGGATTAAAAAACAATTATGATAAGTTGAACCAACCAATCACCAACCAATTTCAAATTTTTATTGGTCCCTCCAGAATTTTAATCAGATGTTCATGTACAACTCAAATAAAATTCGATTTATAAAAAGAACCCATTTGAATGATAGAACATAAATTGAATTCTATAGGAAGAATACCAGATTTTGATGCAGCGAATTAGCTTACCTGGGGACCTCAGGCTATCATGTTCATAAACCTCAGCACTCAGGCTATCATGTTCATAAACCGAATAGAGATTCGATATTGGCGGAATGACAGGCTGAGCGCGGCCCAGTAACGAATTAGCTTGTCCATCCAGATCACTAGTATAGTATAGCATGGTTGTTTTAACGAAAATAAATGTAAAAACAGACAACATAAACGCTAGCCAGGGGTGTAGGAATGATTTTCTTTATTTTGGCGAAGGGGAGGCCTGCCTTCCGAGATCGCATTACAAAGGGGAACCCTCGAGCTAGTCCAAAATCGTATATCGAACTTCGAAAACCGAAAAAAAAAATGTTTTGCTCATAATGATCAGGGTAGCATGAAACATGAACAAAAGTAGTTTCCAAGAAAACTTTGACAATTTTTGACTTAGAAAATTTTCGGTCCGAGTCATTCTCGATACGTACCTCTGAAAGCAGAGCTCCCGCTTCCGAGCTCGTATTACTGGGCCGCGCTCAGCCTGTCATTCCGTTTAATCTCTATTCATATGTTTATGAACATGATAGCCTGAGGTCCCCAGGTAAAGCTCGTATTGCCCTTATTGGCCCCTTGCCCAGATTTCATGGGGGGGGGGGGGCGATAGGCCCCCTGCCCCCCACCGGTTCCTACACCCCTGACGCTAGCATTAGCAACGGTACGAACTTGGGGTCCGTCGAAAGATGCCGAGCCCAAACTGTTTTAATCTTTATACATTCTCTCAGTACCGAATGTGCTTCTGTTAGTACTACCAACTACTAGCAGACAGCAGACTGCAGAGGTACAGTGTATATTAAATATTCATAGCCTGGATGTTTTCTTTATAAACAGCGTGTTTTAAGATGGGCCTCATTTCAACTGGACGGACCGACAACATATCTCCTATCTGTAACCTCTCTTGGAGAACGTAATTATAAAAATGTAACTGTTATAACTGCAGAAATTTTGCCAAACCGACTCGGTGCTACTGTCGAGCTGTCATCGAGCTTTGCAGCACTTGACAGATAATAATTTAAATGCGACAGTTACTTTGAAATGTCAAAACAAATGTCATGTGCTTCTTTGTGTGCTTCTTTGGCGATATTAAATCAAATACACACCTCCTTTTTAAGATATAAAAAGTGAAACTAAAAGTCTCAGCTATGTATTGTGAATCTTCCTTACAAGTGCTGGCAGTTGACACTTTGTTAAAATATAACTAAATATTCAACACCATAAAAGATTTTAACTGAAATAAATACCTAGCTGTACAACAAATTACAAGGATAATAGCGTTTGTTGTAGATAATGTATCCTGTAGCGAAAATATACGATATCTCAGTTTATATCACCATTCTAATAACTTTGTCTGAAATCAAGCATAACATTTATCATGTAACTGAAGACGAAATCTGTTCAGAGCCCTTCGTTCTTTTTTCACTGCGATAACAAATATTTAACAATTTAAAAATTCAACCTCATAATCGAAAAAATAAACATCCCTTTCGTCTCTTGGCGATATAAACAAGAAATGTAAAAAAGCATTCGTCAAGTCTGTTGGAAAACTATGTACAGTAAAAGGACTGTCTAACGTTAACATTAAATTAGCGCAGATCAAAATATTCGATGGAAGAGAATTGTCAGAAATTCTTGAATAAACGTCGAATTATTTTTTGGTTTTCGGATAGCCAAAGCTGCTGGTAAAATCATTGAGTATGAAAAATGAAGGGCAGAATTAAAACCCACTTTTCAGATGAGTAAAAAGGGCGAGATTATAGTAGTAGTACGGATAAATATTTTGTAATTTTAATTGTTACTGTCGTAACAGCGTGAAAGTGCCTTCTCCATTTTTGACACACGAGAACATTAAATATTAAAATAAAACGTAAGAAACTCCTAAAATAATTCATTATCAAGAATATGTCTTCGTTGACCAACGATCCCAATATTGTTGGGTCATGTTAAAGGTTGCCCAAGCAATCCCTGAGGAGGGAACTGCTTTACTACTGTTTGCCAGGAAACCCCTGTAAAATCCTTTGTATCCTTCTGTTTTTAATATTTTTGCCGCGTGGGCTCTCGGGCCTAATCTGTCTTTCTCAGGACCTGAAAGGAAATTAAGTTGTATATTACGTCAATACATTCTTACACTGGCTACCACTTCAATAAAACAGAGAGTAAACACGGTAATTTTCATCCGTAACACTCACAGTCACTTCATTCAAACAAGTTTATAAAATAGGTATTTCACGTCAGAATTTATATCAATCAGGACACATAGTTATTTGTCTCACTAGATTTAAATAAACCAATAATCTAAGATTAATCTGAAGACCAAGATTAAGATATACGAAGCATACGTTACATCTGTTATGCTCTATGACTGCAATAGCTGGGCTACCCCTCAGAACCTATTTGACAAACTTGATGCATGTCATAGAAGACACCTGCGTCAAATATTGAAGATGACTTATCCCATTATTATCAGTAATAAAGCACTATATGAACGCTGTGGTGTAACACCGTTGTCAGAGCGAGTGACATATGCTCGCTGGAAAATGCTGGGACATGTCCTTCGCAGTGACTGCTCATCACCAGCTCAGAGAGCTCTTCAATTTGCTGTTAATGCGTTATTTACCATGAAAGGACGTGTTGGTCGACACCAAAGTAATCTTTTAAAGTTTATTATAAATGATTTGAATAAAAGAAACCTACCATTACGTGATATTAATGATCTTTATGATCTTAGGGCTACTGCCTCTAACAGAGTTTTGTGGAGAAAATTATTTACCTCATAATTAACCTTTATTTTTCAGAGAACTGTTATGTTTTTTGGGCACTTATCAGTCTCTTAAGATGTTTCTTTACTATTTCGAGATTGTTTTAAAAGTTAGATAATAATAAATAATAATAAATGAACAAGTGCTCACCAGTGTAAGCCTGCATCTGACAAGTAATAAGTCTGAAAGGGTAAGTAGCACCCATCGCTACGAAGGAGGAGGTAGTTCCTATCCCCAGTAAAGGATAGAAGCCTGGTACTTTCGTTTGGAAATGCTCTTTGTACCATTCCGTGCCCAACTGTTATTTAACGAGGGTTATTTAACGAAATAAGGGAAACAACTAAGTCAATATCCATTACATTTACACTACTACTACTACTACACTTACAATCATCAGATAGTAGTTAAACGTATAAGTATTAAGTACGATGTGCCCAAAAATATGTGGCCATGGATTCGTTAATAGATAGAAAGATTGAAGATAACGACTACGTACCTTACTACATCCAAGTTCTAGCGCTGCAAAGGGCATCACACCTATAATGGCGGGTGTAAAACCTTTGTAAAAGTTGAATATCGGAATTCCATTAAACCGTGGATTTCCCGTTTCGTTCCAAATACGTTTAGAAGCTTGGAAAACTCCCATGTTTCCCAATTTGGAGGGGAATGTCATGATTCTAGTCTTTATTATCTCTACAGGATACATGAACGTCTGTACAAAAATACCCGTAAATGCGCCGTTAGAAAACCTGTAACATTGAAACATTACTCATTTTTTTACTTTATCATGTTTCAGTGTAGATAAGATTACGATAATATTAATTTTGTTAAATATGAACTGTTTGTTAAATATTTTGCTGTTCCCGAGGACTGTATTAAAACAGGTCAGCGTATTTTATTACGTGCCAGAAAATAAGTGGTAGGTCTTATCACTAACTTGCTTAACTTATCGCCATGAATGTGCCACAGAGGATTCTTCGTCACAATTTGCGTTTCGTTCAAAAGCTCGAAGATGTAGAGCCGAACTGCATTCTCGGGAAATATCTTCATGCAGTTTACAAGGTTTCCTGGAGGGACACTTCAGTTATTATAATTCCAGCTATGTAACAGTATTAAAATAACTGTATCATTGTCTGTGTATTTATTAAACATTAATGATAACACGATTTACGGTTTTACACACTCCTTTGAACTATCACAGTTATCACAATAGTGACTTTAATATATATAAACTAACATAACTAACCTTTCCACATGGTAAATATCCCCTCCCTCCACATAGCCCTCAACATCTGGATAGCTCCCATGTTCTGTCTGTTGCCCACCACCCTCTGCTGGCCCTGAACCTGGAGCAGGACCTTGAGGCGGTCCAGTGGCGCTGTGCAGGTTCTGGAGACAACCCCCGCTAGACCCCCACATAGGATCTTCTTCAGGTGACCCGAACTAGCATTGTTTTTATGGGACTCTGGTATTTGATCTATGATACCGTCAACGTACGCTGACTGAAATGGATTGAGTTTAGTGAAATCTGACTTAGCAAGAAAAGGACAAGGAAATCAATCGTATAGTAACTTTAGTTTGTTAATCTATTAATAATTAGAGATAATAAACAATGTTGGTAACTTTATGATACAACTTACACACAAACGTCCTTACAGAAACAGACTGTTGCACAATTATAGTTGAAGTATAGGATATTAAAGACAGCACACACACATACACGCACAATAAACAGAGACAGTAGTATAGCAAAAGCACTTGTTCAACAAAACGGAACACGTACTTGCTGGGGCGGAGATTAAAACTTCTTAACAACAAGCAAGATATTATAGCGCTATTCACAAAGAAAGCGCGAGAGCTGAATTTTGTTGACAACTACTGTAAAACTGGTGCAGGTGGTACACAGGAAATACCTGACAGGAAACTATGTGCAGGATATAAATATTTGGTATCAATCGAGAAGGAAGAGTCGTAGAATGTACAAGCTTACTGGCTCTAGTAGTTTGCACTCTGTCAACGCAGTGGAGGTTGGACCACTATACATGCGGGTGTATAGTCTGTATACAAGGTAGAGAGAGAGAGGCACTGGTAGGCTGCTCTGGGATAATTGCTTTCTTCTGTCCTTGTCTGTATAATGAAGCGAGAGCTGCTCTAATTAATTCGTAATCGAGATAAAAGATACGAGATTTGATAACGATGCTTGCTTCTCCTTTTGTGTGGAAATTTAAAGTTATGCATTAGCGTTGTAGTCTAGAAATTTCTTGCAGAATTTTCCAATTATGAATTTAACATTCTTGGAAATACAATCTTTGTCGATGAATGCCGAAACAGCTTCATAAGCTCTGATGTTTAAACCTTTACGGATACCGCAAATCGGCACGCATTTTCTTATGAAATTTCAACAATTGTTCCAGAAAAGTCAGGTTGGAGCTACCACGATGGCAATTGTTAACAAAAGACCGAAGAATGGCATGTAAATGTATAAACTTATAATATAATTGGACATAACTCCAAAATCTACATCGGTAGCAGATAATGTAACCGATTTTCAATAAACGGAAAGCGAAATGAGCGGAGGAAGTAAGGAGTGGAAACTCAATGAAAAGTAGTGATGTTGAAATTACATCATCCAGGCGAAGCAGACACACGCGGAACTTAATATTCTATTAGAGGTGACGCGATCCAGTGTGAGTCGTGATCATGTTACACTGCATTGTTTAGCCTGGGGTGGGGTGGGGACGCATTTCATCACTTGTCACGTCGATGACGTCATATAATGGACATAGCAAGACAATATGCCAATTATGTATTATGTACTCTCGACATTACATGCTCCATTATGTATAATTGGCGGTTCTTCTCTGACTACCAGCTTTTTCTACAGGTACACTAAGAAAGTAAGAATGTTCGAGAACGAAGATAAAAACTAACACGACTAACGACCGGAAAATTTGAAAGTCGTAAGTAAAACAAAAGCAAAAACCGACTGTAGCTGTGTGCGACTCAAGAGAGATATCTGATATTGATACAAGACAAATTAGAAGAAGCGTGTACGACAAAATGACATCACCAGACATCAGGAAATGCAGATACGTGTATTGTGTATAGGTACTTGTATTGTGAATAGTGCAAACATTCAGATAGACACATACTCGGTACAAACCTCGCAAACAATTATCAGAGGACGGACAAAACACTGCAGATAATTTGATTACAGATAACGTTATTCAATTACTGACTCATTGATTTACGTTTTATCAATGATGTGATTAACACGTTATTGCTCCCGCATAATTGTACATCCAGCTTCTATGACTATATGATAATGCATTGTAAATATTTTGTTAATGATTTTATTTAAAATATAATTTTGATTTTGGGATTTAATTTTCAGGTGTCATGGTTCAGAACTATAAAGCCATGAAACTTGAAATGTTACCTGGATATTTTCTAAGACCTGATCTGATTCTGGCAGCATCGGAACATGGCATCTGTCAATTCACAATTTCACGCAGGCCCTAAAACTAAAATCTCTTGTATACCATCGCCTAGTATGGACAACTTAATTCAGTTCAAGAATGGAATCTTCGTCTCTATAATTTATAAGCATGGCGCCCAAAATAATAGCCAAAGCAAAGGTTGAGACCTCAATTTAAACACAAGCGTTTAACAAATAATGACGATCGAAATTTTCTATTCAGCTTTTAAAGATCCATCGATCGGGTATAATCTGATAGGAACAAGTAATCCATGGAACATGTATCAAGGTCGAGCATATAACAGCAGCAAAGCTGTTTTTGGGCTACTCCTTATAGTTATACGCGAGTAAGGACAAAAGAACAAGCCTGTTCAGCAAATCAGAGGTTTCTCATTAATCAACAGTTTATTCCTCAAAGCGCTCCTTCATAAACTAAATCAAGACAAATGTATTACATTTATAGAGACTTGGTCCAAAACGACCTAGGTAAAAGCATACAACGTACCTTTACTGCATTTTATTCTATATTTGGATTTGTTAAACAGATAGCTTACATGTATGCTTTAATGTTTGTTTGGGGACCGGTTTTTTATACCCGGCCAATGTTTACAAAATAATATAATACATATTTAGGATTTAATTTCAACACTTATCTCGTTTAGACAAGAGGCTGGGAAATTTCATAGTGAAGCAAGAGTCATTAAGTTGCGAATTCCATTAAATATAATAAATTTATTTGTTACACTAAAAATAACGCAATCAATTTCTGCAAGTAAGCAAAACCTCTTACGTACCACAGGCTTTAAAACAAAGTCTAGATCATCATCATCACAGTTAATATATTGTTCAAATATATCATAACTCCAAAAATAAACTTTCATCATACACAACAAATATAAATCTTAACGGTTAGCTAAAACAACATACACGTGACAGGAATGCTTCAAGAAACACACGGTGGTCCTAGTAACTACAGTAACCGTAGCGATGACAAAAGTGACACTAAACAGCACAGAGATCCCTACAGGTTATATAGCCATTACTATATCGTGAATGTACTGTGTACAAGCTACTTTCGTTAGGTATTGTGCAAGCCAGTTTTGCCTTAATTATACCGAGGATAAAAAGTCATGTCGTTGAATATATTGATTTTTTACAATCTTGGAAGTGATGATGCGATTTAGCAGTGGCATATTCTCTTGTTCAAAAGGTTTACAAATTTCGAGAAAAGATATCCTTAGCTAACTTACATTTGTGGTTTAACAAAAACCAAAACGAAAGTACATTATATAATAAATATGTAACTTTTACAGAACCTTTAAACAGGTAATACTAATCTAAATTGTAATCTAATCCATATTTTCGGATATCAATACTTACTAATGGTAAGGTTTCGGCAATTCTATAAATGCTTTAATTAACTTCTAGGAATCAACAAAACATAAAAATACCACATTGCAACGGGATAACGTACAGGCCAAATACATTTAGAAAAGAGATCATGGCGCAGCCTGATAATCAATATAATTTTGTGAGGTGGTGGGTTCCTTAACCACAGGGATCGTATCCTTGACAACAGCCACCGTATCCCGAGTAACAGGGATATTATTGGTAGAAGAGGATTCGGGTGTCAGCATGGCATTGCTTTCAACACTCAGTCTTAACTTCGGCGGTGATTCAGGATGGTCAGTGTTATTGCGGATCCTGGTGTCCAGTATGAAAATTCCAGTTGGAACCATTTCCAGAACACTGAGTTGAGCCTCCATGTCTGAAGAAATGGGGTAGAGTCTGTCATTAGCTCGGTGTAGAAACACCCAGTTGTTAGAAAGCAATCCCGGAAGTCCAGGATTATTGGCGGAATGTTCTCGAACCCACCTCTCCACAGTTGGTCTGATGCTGTCCAGAGTGGATGAAGGTTGCACCATAACGATAGTCAGCGGGTGGGCCACCCTTTGGAGTTTCTCTAGAGAGCCATAGTTAGCCTGGAAATCATTAGCGGTGACCTTATGAAGCGCTATTTTAACGGGAGGTGTGTCGTCACTACAGGAGGGGGGTCCCACACTACACACACTGCTCTCCCCCACAGATATTGAGTTGAAGGATTTGCTCTCTCTACTCTTCCACCTCATCAACATCCGGGCTTGGTTCCTTCTGCTGATTTTAAAAGTAGAAGGAACAATATAACACGGTTCGCCGTCCACTTGACAATGAAGGGCTTTCTTCGTTTTAACGACAGCTTTTCTACACTGACATATCCGGCTCCCAGGTATTCCAACTTGAAGCGCAGCTATGGTTGGTGCTGAGAATAGTCCCACTACCTCAATGAATCCGTCGTCCATGGCCGCTGGGCGGGCTGCTCCTCGAGCCGTACCCCACGGGTTGACACCCCCAGAATAGCTCTTAATATTCAAAAATACAATGCAGTGAATTTTCTGCTCTCTGATTTTCTCGGTGTAGTCCTCACCATCACAAGTCAACTCGACAAATTTTGAGAGGTTTTTGTATTTTTGCTCAAACGTGTCGTACAGTCCACCCTTGAAATAAACAAATTTGTTGTACGCCCGACTATTGAATTTCTCTGGTTTTGCTTCTCTACCCGTATGAAACTGATACTGTATGTGAGCGTCCAATCCAATCCCGAAATAATTATTGAAGATATTGACAGGTAACCGTGTGGTGGCTTGCTCAATAGTGTCGTCATCCTTCGAGTTCTGAGAGTCCACTTCGTCCACAGAGGCTGAGTGAGGTGAGGTCGGGGTCAGCTGGCTGGAGTCTATATTCTCCACTACTATCTCCCACCGGTCTAAACAATGTACCACTGCGTCTGATACTTGAGATAAGATCTTGTCGATTGGTTCACCCGCATACGCGGCACCCCAGTTCAATACTCGTGCTAGGTCGTTGCCAGTGCCCAGAGGTAGGATAGCACAAGGGGGCAGGTTAATAAAGTTTAGTTTGTCAATCTCTGACAAGACCCAGCCGATTGTGCCATCTCCACCACAACACAATATCCGTAGATTTGCCACATTTTGATACAACTGAAGACCAAGGGTCGGTCCACCATCCATCATATCGAAAACTTGACGTGGATTTAAAAACCATTGAAAAGCGTGAATGAGAGAGGCGCCCTGATTCCCACCAGACTTAGGATTAACAAATACTAATAACGGTGTTTTAGTGGAGTTTGAGGATCCAACCTTTATATGAAAAGGTCGCCTAGCCTCCTCTTTTTCGTGATCCTGACGTTTCCTGTGGTTTCCCCGTTTTGAGGAACAAGATGAGGGACGAGTCGAATAACTAATTTTCCTCTTGTCCGGTTTCTTGTTGTTTTTACTGGTGAACACAATCCAGTTGGGGGGCACTATGATCTGTTCGGAGTCTCCCAACGTACAGTGGTCCTCAATGAGACTGAGAGTAAAACAGGAGGTGTGGTAAATGTCCTTACACCATGAACAGCTGACTGCAATGAAGGACTTGCTGTTTCTCCCCGTACTCCAGCCTCCACTTTTAGTGAGTGTCTTGTTACAGCCCCTGCATTTAGTCCCGAACCCTTTCCTTTGCAGCACCCAATGATGAGGCGTCCAGGCCTCTTTTTTGAAACTAGCATCTCTGAATGTAGTCCGGCACCGAACTGAAAGATCCTCCCGGCACTCCTCATGTACTACCATGTGGCACGCGGCGCATTTGACCTTGAGGCGCTTGTCCCCCTTGCTTCTGCAATCCTTGTCGGGGGTGGTCAGAGCGCACATGGCACCACCCTCGTAGTTATACCAGTAGTGTGCACCGTTTACTGCCCCCTCCATCCATTCGGTCATGTTGGCGGGGGACCTGCGCGGGACCTGTTGGCGGGGGACCTGCGCGGCTGGTGGTTGGAGGCGAGTACACACCGCCACTAATCATAACCACTCGAGATGTGTCGGTACACGCGCATCACTCTTCACATCCTACAAAACACAGGTTAGTTGGTAATAATATGCTAAAGATACACGTGCAAATGTACACGTGCAAAACATACACGTGTATAGCAACATTAACGGTCTTAAACACGCCGCTGCTGCAGAAGCCATCATAATTACACATTAAAAGTAAAAGCAAAGATGTGTGTACAAGCAATAAGACAAAGAGAGATTTAAATGTATTGAATAACAATACTACTGCTGCTCAGGAAATACTATCACACGACCCGCTGCCCACTAAAAACCACAGAAACAAAAGAATTGTTAACATGAAAAAAGGACGAAGGGTGCTGGGTTACAATAATCGCAGACTGAGCAGAACTACATGTACCACTCAGAGGACGTGTGTGTGCAGACTTGCTGCTCTCTGCGTCCCTTCCCTCTCTCTCTCTCTCTCTCTCTCTCTCTCTACTCTCGAAATACAATACCCCAGCTCACTTACAACGTCACTGCATAACCGCACAATCAGAAACGCTTATACCTACTTAACCTGATTAAACTCCCTCCGGTAACGTACATGGTTTAATCTCCGCCGGGAGGTGTGTGACGTCACTGCCGGGAGGTGTGTGACGTCACTGACCAGGGCGCGACGTAGTTTTTCTCAAATATCTGTCAGCTTGTATGCGTCACAGACGAGAGCAAAGCTACGTTTAACTATGGGAGCAGGGTGGGAAAGGGTGTAAGAAGGAAGAGGGAACTTTGCAAAACTGGGGGAGCATTCCGGTTAATAAGATCAATTATACAACAGGATCAAAGTGCGATAACATTTACAAGAACTTCTAACGTGTTGAGCTAACAAGAGCGTTTGCAGAAAGTGCACGTGGGCATCCAACACGTGCGCTGGTTCGCCAGTTGGCAGCACGTGGGACAAACAGGGCCATTTGATTCGCCGGAGCAACCAAAGAGGAGTGCTACACAGTTTTCCATCTACATTACAACATTCTGGTAGTGTTGACGGCCTGTGACGCGAGAAAATCACGTGACGTTGTCATGACACTCCACGTGGTGATTATACCATGATTTGATTGGACGAGACAATCTACCCCTCTTCCTGATTGGACGAGAACGTTTCTACGAAGGCAGTGTACAATATTTGCTATAAACCCATTACTTAGCCAGCTCACAGTACATAGAAGTCTCATTTAGTACGGACTTTTTTCGGGTTTCTCCCACGTATTTTAATGTTAAGAGTGCAGCGCTGCTGCTCCGCGCATCCGTACAACAATTCCCGCTTCTCAGCCGACAGCTTAATGATAATACGTAACAAAACGAAAGCAAAGTGAACAGAACCAAGTAAGAGCTGGTTGTGATCTGAGCATCAGGGCGTACTGGAGCGGTTCAAAAGTAAAATTTTCCTCAGACAACAGTTTACAAGATAGGAGATCTGTAAACGTAGTAATATTCCCGACATCGCGCCACTTGCATTGACAGAAGTAGAGTTGCGACTAGTCAGGAGGCGAGGTCGCTGTCACGTGACATAAATTAACCAGTAATCGTGCGAGTTGACGGAAATCAAACCATGATCTTACTTAGCGGAAAAAGTAGACAGGTCTGCCAAGGGCCACTACCGGGGCAATACCGGACGGAAACCAGTAGCCATTAATTCATTCATAAGACATCTCATTTACTAATACATCGTGCAATATCTTCCTAAGATGGGGCAATTTGCGATCATTTTGAAGGACAGATTAAGTGATTTTTAAAAAGAAAATGCGCAGTCACAATTAACAAGACAATTGCTATGATCACCTCTTATGAAAAATGTCGATCATTGCAAGAACGCGTTTTAAAATCGATAGAGTAAAATCTTACTTTCATTTTATGCGAGAACTAGCGATACTTTTATACGAGAAATTACAATCGCTCTGCACAATAACTTAATCGTTAAGCCCATAACTGCAAGTTATGCAGCTGCATTATTCAAAAAAATACAACCGTAGTTCAACAAAAAACAACCATGGGATCAGCAATCATTGCGACATATCATTTCCGAGTAAAACAAACCCCAACAAAATATCAACGTACGAAAAGGTAAGCTATAAAATGGGCGGGTTCAAAGAAACGCAGTAAACTATCCTACGTATAACCATGACGTAAGAAAAGTTATATAGAGGATGCAATAAATGCAATAAATGAATTTAAAGAATGTAGAAGGATAGCAGCAACAGGGACCTACGACATAGCTTATAAACCGGCCTATCGAGTCGTGCACAATCATTTGAATAACGAACTGTGCAGCCTGTATTGAGTACAAGGTATGTCATTACTGCATTATTTGCAGTGATGGAGGGAGGGAGGGAGGGGTGGAGGGAGGGAGGGGTGGAGGGAGGGAGGGAGGGAGTGAGGGAGAGAGAGAGAGAGAGAGAGAGAGAGAGAGAGAGAGAGAGAGAGAGAGAGAGAGAGAGAGAGAGAGAGAAAAAGAGAGGGGGGGGGGCGGAGGGAGCGGCGAAGGGAAGGGGGGGAGGGAGGGAGGGAGGGAGGGGTGGAGGGAGGGAGGGGTGGAGGGAGGGAGGAAGGGAGGGAGGGAGGGAGGGAGGGAGGGAGGGAGGGAGGGAGGGAGGAAGGGGTGGAGGGAGGGAGGGGTGGAGGGAGGGAGGGGTGGAGGGAGGGAGGAAGGGAGGGAGGGCAGACCAAACCCCTAGTCGTTGTTGTTGAGACGAGTAGAGAAATGAGATTCTCAATACATTCTTACAAGGAAGCCATCCCATCATTATGATATATATATATATAATATATATATATATGTGTGTGTGTCATTGTCATTGAAGTTGTGCAATCACAATTGACGATGATTGAACGTCATATGTTACGTTAAGGGAAGGTCAAGACCCACAGATTTTTGATAGAAATAGAATTACAACCTGGGAGTTATGACATATTATTCGAGTAGATACAATTCAGCTAAAATAGAAAATAATGGCCTGATCAACCCAATGAAATTCAAAGTGAATAATTACGTATATTATAAAGGAGCAAGATACCAGTAGATTGTCGGCCTTTACCCGGTCATAAACACATTCATTTTACAGACGTAGTGAAAATACACATCTTGGTGAGTTGGCTCGCGTGCTGCTAAAAAGTCAAATTGCAACGCCCACAGAGTGCTAATGCTCTTGCTTAATCACCGGCGCGGAATAACCGACCAACTGCAACCCCTCATTACCGTCACGTGACGTGCACGAACCAATCAGGAGGCTGCATTTTGCTAACGTCAGCACTAGCGAACATACGCAAATTTGGGACGAATTGACGGGCAGCAAAGTAATTTGTACTGATTGGACAATATAATATAGGTATTATATAGGTAATTAGGTTTAACATGCTTGCAGGTAAATGGTAAAATATGCATACTTAATTAGAACAGGAATGAAGTTATGGTTAGTATGGAAAGTGTGGCGCATCAAGTTTAAACTGGTTTTAATTTTAAATGAAAGAAAACAACGGTACAAAAAACCTCGCGTATTTGACTTTAATGCCCCATTCGGGCTGAAAAATTCAGGCTATATAATTAAGCGACAATTTGGTTGTAATTCCATGGATTAATATTATAGTGGAATTCCAAGCATTATTTATTCGTTGGAATTCCACCGTTGAACATATCTCTGCTTCTAAGATTCTGCTAGATTCATGGGAGAGGGAAATCTTCGAATACAGTAAATTATTTATAGTCATTGACAAAATACCATAAAAACTTGGTGTTTTTATTAATGAACATGTAATATTAATAATATGTATATTTAATTTTAAGTGTAAAGGAAGAAATGTGTAGATAGTAGGGCAACAACTATCTCGACAAACAACAATGCAGATTTGATTTAGGTAAAGACATTGTGATGGTGCATACAACAGCCAAAAGAGCAAACAATTGAAGAAGTAGCCTGCTCCTTTATAAAGACTGTCCATCTAATTAAACTAAAAACTAGCTTACACATGGAGAAACGAGAGAGTACATAATATATGCTATTGAACACTGCTACGTTGCTTTCTAAGCTACCAGCCGGACATTTATTATTGTGCTGACTGCTGCTACTTTATACTTAATTCCTACTTTTATGACGTCATCCTTACTTTTATGACGTCATCCTTTAGATGAAGTTCTGGATAGATCTGAAACAAATGACGTCAGAGACAAAAGAGTTTCGACCTATCAAACCACAGCGTAATTGTATCAACATTCAAGAATTCGCATATTATGTAAACCAGCGTAAAGGGTTAGGGTTTTTGAAAAGCTTTGTAATTTATAAACAATAGCAATGTGTAAAGTGTGGAGCGTTGTAGAGGGTCTAAAATTACCAACATTTTCACGCGAAAGATACATTATGTATTAAAAATATCTTAATCTTATGCCAAGCTTCCTATAATGTGAAAAATAAACTCCTTACACAAACTGCTGCTTTATAAATTAACTAAAAGGCCCGTGGTCACAGGGAGGAAGCTAATGGCATACTTAATCATAGTAAGTTTTTATCGCATCAAAAATATCCGTCACATCCGAAAATACTGCAGATTAAAATGTAGCTCGCACTAAACATAACGTTATTACTACAAAGCCGATCAAAATGTCGCTCGCAAATCTTTGCACGTGCGCGTTTCAACACCGTTACTATGGTTACTACGCAACTTGTATTTGTTTACTTAATTTGCACGTGGGCGGTCGTACATACATTCTACAGAATAATTCTTTGAATTATAAGTAATAGAAAAACCGTGGTTACAGGGAGGAAGCTAAAAGTATTTTTTGTTAGTAAGTTTAAATCGCGTCAAAATATCCTACACAACCGAAGATACAGCTGATTAAAATGTTGCTCGCACTAAACACAACGTAATATCAACGAAACCGATAAAAATGCCGTTTTAACAATCTTTGCGCGTGCACGTGCGTGTAACGACCCTCGTTACCATGGTTACTTTGCAACCTTTTGCTTTTTACCTAATTTGCACGTGTGCGGTCGTACATCATCAGCAGAAATAATTCTCTGAAATATAAGTAAGATAAGATAAACCATGTAAAACACATGATGGCGATAGAAAGCGTGTGAGGGTAAAAAGGGCCGGGGAGCTCTTACAAAATTAGACAATAAGCACGACCAACGACCTGTAGAGATATAATATATGGGGTCGTCTTTACAAGTTTACAAAACACCTATCAAATTAGCAGTTGTGAATGCTCAAACTAACGTAGTGGCGCTATAATGGCAGGTACTAGTAGAGAAATAACACTGGGTGCTGGAGATCATGGAAAAGGATCTCTAGTGGGGATGTAAAGGTGATCTGTTTAACTCTAACAGAGGAGAGGAGAGAGGAGAGGAGAGGAGAGGAGAGGAGAGGAGATGAGAGGAGAGGAGAGGAGAGGAGAGGAGAGGAAAGGAGAGGAGAGGAGAGGAGAGGAGAGGAGAGGAGAGGAGAGGAGAGGAGAGGAGAGGAGAGGAGAGGAGAGGAGAGGAGAGGAGAGGAGAGGAGAGGAGAGGAGAGGAGAGGAGAGGAGAGGAGAGGAGAGGAGAGGAGAGGAGAGGAGAGGAGAGGAGAGGAGAGGAGAGGAGAGGAGAGGAGAGGAGAGGAGAGGAGAGGAGAGGAGAGGAGAGGAGAGGAGAGGAGAGGAGAGGAGAGGAGAGGAGAGGAGAGGAGAGGAGAGGAGAGGAGAGGAGAGGAGAGGAGAGGAGAGGAGAGGAGAGGAGAGGAGAGGAGAGGAGAGGAGAGGAGAGGAGAGGAGAGGAGAGAGTTGCCAGGAGTCAGTAGAGATTTCCCTAATTCCTTTATATTAACTGATCCAGGTAGCACACACAAAGCGAACAGCTAGCTTCCTGGCCTCTCCCTTCCTACCCTTCATTTGTAGTTAGGCTGCATGTTGTACACTAGATAACCAATATAACAATGGTGAGTACTTATGGTATAAGATCAGTAGTATAGACCTCTGACGCACGTGTGTGAGAGAGCAACCTGGAGCAAGGTTTTTAGGCTCCGTTAAAAACTCCAGGAAGTTTCCAGATGCTCTCTAATAGTGTGTTAAGTTGCCTTTGTGTAATTGTATATTGACTAATGAAGGGGCTGAAACTGGGTGTGGTGCAGGAACTGGGAATTGTGTGTATATCAGGATGCAGAGACTGAATAAGTTTTAAAGTTATTTACTCTGGGTCACCCTGTGTATTCTGATCTCCAACCTGGACATACGTCTCAAGTTTGCTCCCTAAATCAAAACCAAACACTACTACTGTATATAAATAACAGTACTGTATATAAACAATAAATATAACAAATAATGTGAGGGTCTCACGAGAAGATTTCAAGCCTCATATTGTGTGTTTCCCTTCAACTACAACACAAGACTAATTAAGCTGCTAAAATAGATCCTGCTTATATATAATATAGCCTAGGAAAGTTTAATCTTTTTACTCGTTAGGTTTAAGTGAGGTGACAATAGTATGTTATTGTATAAACATGAGGGTACCTGCATGGATGGGTACGCCATCACACAATCAGGTGATTCTCATCTTAGAGCAGCTCGCCAAAGGTATTCATATTTGAGGCAGGCAGGTATAGAGGCAGGTATAGAGGCAAGTCCCTGGGTTAGCGTGAGAATGTAAGAGGGGGAACAGAAAGTGAAGCGGAGATAGAACTGAAGTTAGTACAAATAACAGTACAAGGAACTGAGACTGAACTAATTTCTGTCAAATTATGTCCAATTCTCCCACATTGCAGCAAAACAAGATAGAAAGGCTTCGGCCATACGTTCTAACAAATTTATTTGTAGTCTAAATTCTTTTGATAATATGGGTGATGTTTCAAACGATTGAACTTGACAATGAACTCAGTGTAATTTAAAGGTAATAAGTTGCCAAGAACTTTTATTTGATAAAGTCACTACCTGGCATGTGAATTTTTCTCCCACTCTCAAAACACCACAAGGTTAAACTAATCCAGGACAAACTAATATCGATCGTGCATAAATGTTACAGCAAGAATGTAGAAATTCCTTCTGATCATTTGCATTGACGTTTATACTTGGATCGGGTACAGTAATTGGGCTTGCAGGAGGATTCCAGGTCCTGGCACCATGACGAAGTTGGACAATTTGAGCAGTGTATCAGTGCACAGTTGCTGTGAACCAAGAGTCGGGACAATGTCATCCCGGGCACGTGACACGAACAAACAGATTTGATTGGCTTCCAGATTTGAGGCGTTCCAGTGATTGGATAATGTGCTCTTGTCGATTGAACTTAATTAATTGCGATGTGGTGAGTGTCTGCCTGGGAGCGTGGAGACGCACTGCCAAGCAAGGAGCCGCAGGGTCGCATAGAGTCGCTTAGCAACCAATCACCATCACGTGCTGGCATATCAACCAATACCTGACCAGGTATAACCTGACCACGTATAACCTAACCAGGTATAACCTGACCACGTATAACCTGACCAGGTATAACCTGACCACGTATAACCTGACCAGGTATAACCTGACCACGTATAACCTGACCAGGTATAACCTGACCACGTATAACCTGACCAGGTATAACCTGACCACGTATAACCTGACCACGTATAACCTGACCACGTATAACCTGACCACGTATAACGTGACCAAGTATAACCTGACCACGTATAACCTGACCACGTATAACCTGACCACGTATAACCTGACCACGTATAACCTGACCACGTATAACCTGACCACGTATAACCTGACCACGTATAACCTGACCACGTATAACCTGACCACGTATAACCTGACCACGTATAACCTGACCACGTATAACCTGACCAGGTATAACCTGACCAGGTATAACCTGACCACGTATAACCTGACCATGTTTAACCTGACCACGTATAACCTGACCACGTATAACCTGACCACGTATAACCTAACCACGTATAACCTGACCACGTATAACCTGACCACGTATAACCTGACCACGTATAACCTGACCACGTATAACCTGACCACGTTTAACCTGACCACGTATAACCTGACCACGTATAACCTGGACCAGGTATAACCTGACCAGGTATAACCTGACCAGGTATAACCTGACCACGTATAACCTGACCATGTTTAACCTGACCACGTATAACCTGACCACGTATAACCTGACCACGTATAACCTAACCACGTATAACCTGACCACGTATAACCTGACCACGTATAACCTGACCACGTATAACCTGACCACGTATAACCTGACCACGTTTAACCTGACCACGTATAACCTGACCACGTATAACCTGACCACGTATAACCTGACCACGTATAACCTGACCACGTATAACCTGACCACGTATAACCTGACCACGTATAACCTGACCACGTATAACCTGACCACGTATAACCTGACCACGTATAACCTAACCACGTATAACCTGACCACGTATGACCGGGTCGCATATAATCGGTTCACGTGTCACCCGATTTAACAAAACAAGGATGATTTTGGAATCTGGCAGGAAGAAATCGGAATTTGACAAGATTTTTCTCTTCAAGGGTTCTACTCGTATTCCCAAGAAGCCAAGATAAAGGAGCTCAGTAAAATAATCGACCGTGAAATAGCAGAAACTATGACGTGGAGCAGCTATCTAGGGTAATTGTACTTAATAGAAGCAGGAAGTAACACGCACTTTGATCGTGTCGGATGTAAACAAAGAAGGGGGCCTTTTAGTGCATGTTGTTCATACCTAGGAACAAAGATAATAGGACATGACAAGTAATAAATCATTTAAGATCTAACAATTAATTGGATTAGTACTCCGTCCCGTACGTGTGCAAGAAGGACAACAATTAATACAATCCAAGAAGTTGGAGTGAAATTCATTAAATATGATGCGATAAGTCAAGAAAGTTGATTAACCAAATCAAAATTAAAAGTTTGATGCATAGCCAAATGGACAGCATAATTGGTATATATATAATTATATATTATAATGTTATGAATAAGTATGTAAATTCTAACATTTATAACACGCTTCGACATTTAAATATAGCCAACGAAGATGTACATTCAAGTCATTCAAGCGAAACTTAGTATGGAAATATCAAGATTATGCACTTTTATATCAGTTCAGAATTTATAGACAAATATTAGGAATATCATCAAAAGCTATGTGGAAATAAAATGTTTTTAGGGCATTTTAAAAACAATCTATAGTTAATAACTCCCTCACTAATAGATGTAAACAATCAGCAGCACAATGTGCAAGTAACTGGAAGGTATAAAGTAAAACAATGACCATACATTGAGAACACGATGTATAATAATTAGATTGAGGTAATGGAGGGATGTAATGAACTACAATGTACATAGTACATTGACTGGTACAAGGATGCATATTCAGTAGTAACTACAGTACAGCGCACGCTCTGCGCTATGTGTAATAGGTTAATGAGCACAATACGACTCCCAATTATCCACCACAAACTACCAATCACGAGGCTCCATTCACTTCACTGGCCAATCACGAGGCTCCATTTACTTCACTGGCCAATCACGAGGCTCCATTTACTTCACTGGCCAATCACGAGGCTCCGCCCTTCCTCGCTAGCCAAGAGAGGCACAGCGTCTGCCAATAGTCAGCACAGAAAATCGTGTCAGTATCAATTACAACTACACAGCGCCTGGCGAACAACTTACCAATCGCACGTCAGACTGACCACAAATGGACCACTCAGAGAGCGGGATTCGTGTCACGTGACACACACTGACCTACAGGAGAGCTGGGTTTTGCTGACGTCAGCAGGGAACTGGTAATGAGCTGGCGAGAGAGCGAACCCGAGGTAATCAGACGTGTACACACAATGCTACCTCATCTTATTGGTCAGCTGTTCTTGGATGTGATTGGAGGAAAAAAGTTGATCTTGTCGGTGATTGGGTGTTTGAAGAGCTGTTCTTTGCTCTGATTTGAAGACAAAAGAGTTGTTCTTGTCAATGATTGGGTGTTTGAAGAGCTGTTCTTTGCTCTGATTGAAAGACAAAAGAGTTGTTCTTGTCGGTGATTGGGTGTTTGAAGAGCTGTTCTTTGCTCTGATTGGAAGACAAAAGAGTTGTTCTTGTCGGTGATTGGGTGTTTGAAGAGCTGTTCTTTGCTCTGATTGGAAGACAAAAGAGTTGTTCTTGTCGGTGATTGGGTGTTTGAAGAGCTGTTCTTTGCTATGATTGGAAGACAAAAGAGTTGTTCTTGTCGGTGATTGGGTGTTTGAAGAGCTGTTCTTTGCTATGATTGGAAGACAAAAGAGTTGTTCTTGTCAATGATTGGGTGTTTGAAGAGCTGTTCTTTGCTCTGATTGAAAGACAAAAGAGTTGTTCTTGTCGGTGATTGGGTGTTTGAAGAGCTGTTCTTTGCTCTGATTGGAAGACAAAAGAGTTGTTCTTGTCGGTGATTGGGTGTTTGAAGAGCTGTTCTTTGCTCTGATTGGAAGACAAAAGAGTTGTTCTTGTCGGTGATTGGGTGTTTGAAGAGCTGTTCTTTGCTATGATTGGAAGACAAAAGAGTTGTTCTTGTCGGTGATTGGGTGTTTGAAGAGCTGTTCTTTGCTCTGATTTGAAGACAAAAGAGTTGTTCTTGTCAGTGATTGAGTGTTTGAAGAGCTGTTCTTTTCTCTGATTGGAAGACAAAAGAGTCGTTCTTTGCTGTAATTGGGGGTAAGAGTTGTTTTTGGGCCATGGCTGTGATTGTAAAATTGTAGAGTTGAGATGATGGAACATATGCTAACTATTATAGTATTATGGGGGGGGGGGGGTGGGGGGGAGGAGATGGAACAGTGTGGGGGGGGGGGGGCTTCAATAGCGCTGTCAAACGAACAAGCTGTCCGACAAAGTGACAAAGTGACAAAGTGACACAGTGACAAAGTGAATAAACTAAGACAAACCATGTTTGAGCTGGTAAATGTTTTCTCAAGTTTGCTTTGACTAGTAAGTTTAACAATATAATAAGATTTAGATTTAATATTAATATAATTTACTTAAAAAAAGAAAGATTTACTAGCAAGTTTACTAGTAAGTTGCTTTGACTAGTAAGTTTAACAATAGCAAAGATTAACACCAGAGCAATTTATTGAACCCGTTTATATCTGACGTTAATTCCAGAACTTACGTTTTAAAAACTTTTAATTTTCCAATGTAGAGATTTGGCTTTGTAGAGAAATAAGGAAACTTGAAGTGATTGTGTTAATTGGGGGGTGGGGGGGCAGTTATTTTTTGAAAACATGTCTTATTATATAATATTATATATATTATTACATTATTACATTATTATATTCGGCGGTTTGCCCGATAAGAACAAAACAATTGAACTTATAGCTATATATAATACAAAAATACCTTGGCTGTTGAGTGCCTGAGCGCGAAACTAAGCCAAGGTATTATTTGTTATAATTATTTCCGGGAATAATTCCAGGAATATAATTATAATAATTAATAATGTCAGCTCTTATCCTCCTGTAACTTGTCCCTCTCAATATCCTCATCACATTCTGTATAGGTAATTGTATGGGTCATCAGTGTAAACACCCTATTTTACCACCACCTACTGACAGTACTTTGTAGGCATTACTTATCGTCAGAACACAGCATCATGATGATGACACTGGTGCAAACTAGCGACACACTAGCGACGAACTAGCGACACACTGTCGCAATCTTCCAAACTCACTAAGTCGCCAGAATGAAGCGGCTACTTACCTACTTACTTAAGTTATGTCATAGATGTGTTAAATTGGAAGAATATTGAGTTGTTGAGTAGGAGCCTGCTATCAAACCAAGTGACAACAAACCTAATAAAACAAGGACAAAGCAGACTATGACAAATAAGGACAAAGTAGGATTACAAATTCCAGAAAGTACGAAACACACAGCAGGGAGCAACACACCCCTCTCTCTGAGCGAGAGAGAGAGAGAGAGAGAGAGAGAGAGAGAGAGAGAGAGAGAGAGAGAGAGAGAGAGAGAGAGAGAGAGAGAGAGAGAGAGAGAGAGAGAGAGAGAGGAGAGAGAGAGAGAGAGAGAGAGAGAGTAAGCAAGGCAAGCTAATGTAGCGGTTCAAAATAACCCCCGAATGCCTTATAAGACTTAATTGTAAGGAACGCTTCCCCCGAATGAGCTCTTGTCGGTGGAACCAGGCTCCGAACGGTGTGATGTAGGGTCACGAGATGTAAACAGCGACAATGCATTCGTTGGGTAGGAGCCGTTTGATTGGTTGTCAGGTTGGTGACGAGATGAGGGTTTGGGCAGGGTGAGCTGGGATAATATCGTCAGCAAGTTCTCTTTGTGCAATGTTAGGATCCCATGCAGGACTGTAGGGCTCGGCATAATAGATAGTGCATAATAGATTGTGCATGACTGTCATTGTGCATGACGGCCGACGCGGTTCGCAGAGGTGTTGCAAGAAAATAGGAGATTTCAACTTGAGGTGAACGTTTCTGCAGGAAATGCAAGTGGAGAAATGGCAAGTTTTTCAAATGTTGATTGTTTATTTCGAAACTTTATAGATATATAAATATATTCTAATACATATAATCTAAAATTTCCACACAATTTGTTAATGAAAACCAGACTTGAGTAACACTACAGCCACCCAATCTCTGGCTAATCTGGTCATATTTTAGAAAATTGCATTGTAAAACCTATTACACTGGAATAAGTCAATTACCGTTGGTTAACAAAGTTTTTTCTAAAACAAATTCTCAATCAAGAAAACATTTCCATCTACGAAATGCTAATTTTTTTCTCCCTGCGCTGATAAGACACAAAAAACATTGATCTTCTCAGAGAGAATATAAGCGCAATAACACCAGCAACTTCAATCCAAGTAGAGTTTGGTAAAACATCAAGTTTACCTGTACAAGAAGTAGAGCAGACTGCCATATTTGGAATAATTGGTTTACCGCGAAACCATACCCAGACGTGAAGTAGAACGTCTAATTACTGTACTATAGATAAATACTCAAACACCTAAAAGCCTTCCAAAACAATGTGATTATAAGATCGTCGCAACTGAAAAGTTGTATGCGAAATGTGAGGAAACAGTTGATTTATAAGAAAACCAAGTGATTGTTACCCCGAGCTGTTAGTCTTGAGCTTACAGAAACACGGAACCTGCGGGCGGAGTAGCGTGGAGAAGTGACGAAAGTGACGACAATTGAAGTTGTATACGGTGACTGGTGAGGCAATCACATGAAATGTTTCATGATTGTATACACGGCAGGTCTCTTTGGATGGAATTGTGTACACGTTGCAATGCCTCCCACCAAGAAACCGTGAGAGGTAGAGTATCAACTGTGGAGAGTAACTTCAATATTCGCTCAAGAAAATGGGAGATCAGCTGATAATATACCGTGAGAGGTAGAGTACCAACTGTGGAGAGTAACTTCAATATTGGCTCAATAAAATGGGAGATCAGCTGATAATATACCGTGAGAGGTAGAGTACCAACTGTGGAGAGTAACTTCAATATTGGCTCAATAAAATGGGAGATCAGCTGATAATATACCGTGAGAGGTAGAGTACCAACTGTGGAGAGTAACTTCAATATTCGCTCAATAAAATGGGAGATCAGCTGATAATATACCCGTGAGAGGTAGAGTACCAACTGTGGAGAGTAACTTCAATATTGGCTCAATAAAATGGGAGATCAGCTGATAATATACCGTGAGAGGTAGAGTACCAACTGTGGAGAGTAACTTCAATATTCGCTCAATAAAATGGGAGATCAGCTGATAATATACCGTGAGAGGTAGAGTACCAACTGTGGAGAGTAACTTCAATATTGGCTCAATAAAATGGGAGATCAGCTTGATAATATACCGTGAGAGGTAAGAGTACCAACTGTGGAGAGTAACTTCAATATTCGCTCAATAAAATGGGGAGATCAGCTGATAATATACCGTGAGAGGTAGAGTACCAACTGTGGAGAGTAACTTCAATATTCGCTCAATAAAATGGGAGATCAGCTGATAATATACCGTGAGAGGTAGAGTACCAACTGTGGAGAGTAACTTCAATATTGGCTCAATAAAATGGGAGATCAGCTGATAATATACCGTGAGAGGTAGAGTACCAACTGTGGAGAGTAACTTCAATATTCGCTCAATAAAATGGGAGATCAGCTGATAATATACCGTGAGAGGTAGAGTACCAACTGTGGAGAGTAACTTCAATATTGGCTCAATAAAATGGGAGATCAGCTGATAATATACCGTGAGAGGTAGAGTACCAACTGTGGAGAGTAACTTCAATATTGGCTCAATAAAATGGGAGATCAGCTGATAATATACCGTGAGAGGTAGAGTACCAACTGTGGAGAGTAACTTCAATATTGGCTCAATAAAATGGGAGATCAGCCGATAATATACCGTGAGAGGTAGAGTACCAACTGTGGAGAGTAACTTCAATATTGGCTCAATAAAATGGGAGATCAGCTGATAATATACCGTGAGAGGTAGAGTATCAACTGTGGAGAGTAACTTCAATATTGGCTCAATAAAATGGGAGATCAGCCGATAATAAGGTCCGCTGCATGATAAGAGCTTCTAAAAGGTCAGTTTAACATGAAGGACGCGTTGGATTGACCTGTTTAACCGATTAAAAGTGACCATGTTGTTGACAAATTGTAACACTACCCACGTAGCTCTAACAGACACGACTTCTGGCCGTTAAAGTGGACGCATAACCGCCACCAAAACGCACGGCAAGTAGGTGACGTGAGAGAGAGATGTCATTACTGAATTATTTGCAGTGAGGGATGGAAGGGTGGAGGGAGAGACAGACAGAGAGAGAGAGAGAGACAGACAGACAGACAGACAGACAGACAGACAGAAGATAGAACCTGGTGATTACAGACAGTATGAGAGCTGTATGGTTCAAATAGCGGCTGTTTTAACTCTGTTTAATGTGATTGTGTCTGTATTTAGAGAGTACTGAGTACTATTACTTAGAGAGAATGTGATTGTGTTGTAGTAGTAGTGACTTGACTTGACTTACTTAAAGGCGGGTAGTGTTCCTGAAATCCATTAACAACAGTTCTCCACAGCTTTCTGTCCTCCATCAATTTAGCTATCTCATCTACTGACTTCAGCCCAGTATCTACTGTTAGGTTATCTAGTAGTGTTAAGTGAAGTCGCCCCCTGTTAGTATGCCCATGACTCGGCTTCCAGAGGATCAGTTTATTCCGGATGTCGATGAGCATTGAGCATGACCTGCAAGTCTGAGCCTTCGTTGGGTTATCTTGGAGCTGACTTTAGGAAGTTCACCGTACATGCTGTGGTTGCTGACATGATCTCGATATTGATTAAAATTCTTAACATTCATTCTTAACATTCGCGTATAGCAACCATCAACCATCTTCTCTAACCTTTTCGTCATAGTCCGAGTCTCGGAACCGTACAAAAGCACCGACTCGACTAGTGCTGTAAACACTCTGATCTTGATAGACTTCCTAAGCTTAGAATTCCAAAGTTTTTTGAGTGTGTGGCATGCTCCCCATGCTCTTCCTTTCCTAACCCTGATATCACTCTCACTGTCTCTGATTCTAGAACCCAGGTAAGTGAAGTCTTCCACATGCTCTATTGTGTGTATCAGGATTCTCGATGTTCTGAGTAATGAGTTTGGTTTTCCCTTCGTTCATTCTAAGTCCCACTGTAGCAGCAACCCTTTCTACCTCTTTCAACAGTGTTTCTGCCTTCTTTACAGTATCCGCTATCAGAGCAATGTCATCCGCAAAACCTGTGTCCGATATCTTCTACTGTAGTAGTAGTTAGAAGTGGCTATTGGAGAGTACAGTACTGAGTACTATTACTTAGAGGGAATGTGATTGTGTTGTAGTACAGTACTATGACCTGATCGGCCCTAATATGGACTGGTCACGCGGTGACGAATATCCGGGATTTTATTTAAACGTCTTTAACATCAAGACATTATCAAGAGAATAATAATGGGAATGATGAGGAGAATAATTGAATTAAACGTTGACTTTATGTTGCATACCGAAAGTCGAACTAAAATGTAAAAGCGGTTTATTTATTTACGAGATAAAAACAGCCGACTGTTTAAATATGAGCAGATATGGTAAATTTATTATTTAAACACAAAACAAAGATGTACCGCATTATAACATTAACAAATAGTACAAAATATAATACTAATGTTATCAATAATTCAACTTAATATGAGTAAGGTACCGAGTACAGAGCTGAGGCTAACAAGAAATGAAATAAAGAGACAGAGTGACAGACAAACAGGTTCACAGAAGTTACAGGACAACAAACAAACAAACAAACAAACAAACAAACAAACAAACAAACAAACAAACAAACAAACAAACAAACAAACAAACAAACAAACAAACAAACAAACAAACAAACAAACAAACAAACAAACAAACAAACAAACAAACAAACAAACAAACAAACAAACAAACAAACAAACAAACAAACAAACAAACAAACAAACAAACAAACAAACAAACAAACCCCGAAAAGCGTGGCAGTATCCGCAAAATCGTATCTGCTTTTGAACTGGTTAAACTCTCTGAACTCGTCCCAACTGATTTGCAGATTCCCGTCTTTGTCGAGCCTAATATATTTTTGTATAATGAACGATGATCAATGTTCACGTGGGGACACGCTAAAAGTAAATCTAATCAATGACTGTAAATCACCGTGGAAGCAATTAAATTCCTAGAAATTATATTTTTTAAAGATTCAAATTGAAAACGTTACTACACAGTACACAGTGGTTTTATGAAATATTTACAAAATATTTTACCGTTTCAGATGGTCCTCAAGAACGTCACTTGGAATATCAATATCATTGTTCTCACAGTACATTTTCAGCTCACTGTACGATATTTGACCTGAACGGGAAATGTTTGTATTTATGCGCATTAAAATAATCAAATCCAAAAAAAACTTAAAAGTGACAAAACAGATCAAGTTAGCTTTGGAGTATTACTTATCAGTATTATCTTAATATATAACCGTCAACCCAGCGCCTGCTAATCACCACCACATTTCAGAGTTCACGTATTGGCACAATTCAGCAAACCTACCTAGATCTTAACCTCTAAACCAGGACCAAGTTATTACCAAGTTGCCCACATGGTTAGCAACTGACACAAGTGTCAGGTACTAACCAGGGGGGGGGGATCATGTTATTTTTTGTCCGTTTTTGTCCGCTCTATTTTTTGTCCGTTTTTAAAATATAGGGTACCGAACGGACAAAAAACATGATCCCCCCCTAACCAATAACCATTACACAAGTGTCAGGTACTAACCACTACACAAGTGTCAGGTACTAACCATTACATAAGTGTCAGGTACTAACCATTACACAAGTGTCAGGTACTAACCATTTCTAACCATCAAACTTACCGCTTCCATCGTGGTCAAGCTCCACGAAGTGTTCCCAAAGGTTCCTCTCGTGTTCCAACATGAACAACATGAACTCTTGGTAGTCCAGCTTACCATCTTTACGGATGTCTCCTCGAGCTATTATTGCCTGAAAGACAGCTCTTAGCACAATGCAATATGTTGATTTGGTAAATGTTATAAAATGGGGACCTACGATACTGGTCACGCACATTGCAGAAAAACAAAAGTATGATTCATTGTTCTGCTTATTTAAACACTTCCATCTAAACATCTGTAAAACTATCGGCAGATTTTCTATTTATATCCTCATATAACTTCAATCAACCGAAGCCAACTGTTTTTAGGTGCTTCAATCGGTAACAGTGCTGCACGCCGCTGTAACCGCCTTCAGCTCCCCGTCTTGGGAATGGGTCGTTAAACTGAGGGCGCTGACGGCGTGAGTAGTGACCCTTGAGGAAGAGGCGCTGACGGCGTGAGTAGTGACCCTTGAGGAAGAGGCGCTGACCAGTGAGTAGTGACCCTTGAGGAAGAGGCGCTGACGGCGTGAGTAGTTACCCTTGAGATAGACTGTGCTGACTGAACAAATTACTTTCTCAGCACTAGTAGACTAGTTAATTAGTTGAGAATACCAGTCTGATTCAGGCAGGTGAATTGGAGTTGCGGCTTTTCGGCACCCCTTCTTATCCATCAATACCCAAGGGTGATGTCACAGTTAACAGGCTGCACTGCTGTGGTAAGTTTGCTAAACTGACAGAGAGGTAACAAATTCCCATCTCCTCAAGTGGTCTAGGTGTTTATGACTCAGGTTCGGTTATAACTTATAAGGTCAAGCTATCCTTACTCTCCGTTTCCAAGGTATTTTGGAGATGGCATTTTGTTGTGATCATAGTTCCTAATTTCAGGTAAATTATTTTTAATTACAAGACACTATAAGAAAATATCACGAGGCGGAATTAAAATAAAGGCTTCATAACGTTCTTTTCCCTTTACTGCTTGATGGTCGGACATTCATTATCAATTATGTCAGGTCTGGGACGGATATTTGGCGGTGGATATTACTTTATTATTTAATTTTATCATTTAATGTGCATGTGTATTTAATCTTATCATTCAATATGCATTGGTTACCCTGGTTATATAAATCGTAGGCCTTTCTGCCTAGTAATCTTTTTGTTGCATCCGTAATTAATTATTTCGCGTGAACTTTCATTTAACCATATTTTTAACTTTCTCCATCTAGTACTTTTGCCATCAAGTTTCATTGGAATAATATCAATGAGGTAACCGAAAGTAATACCATTCCCGCTCGCCCAATGATACGTTCATTTATCTTCCCATTTTTCACCTGTCTTCGTCTATAGTACCACCATTAGGTTTCTTTCTATCAGACCTTTCTTTGTAATATAAAATAACTGCATAGTGCATATATAATAACTTGCATAGTGCATAGTAACTACACTTCATAACGCTCATGATAAGTTATCAAGTTGTCAAGTTGAGGGCAGGAGTAAATTGCATTTGCGCTAGCTGTGTCGCAGCACACACTCTAACCACTCTCACCTCAAAATTAATAACTATTGTTTGTTGGAGAGGAGGTTCTCTTACTCACTACTACTAGTACTCAGTATCATACTACTGACTATGTGTCTGTATTATACTCACTACTGCTAGTACTCAGTATCATACTACTGACCAGTCACTCAGAGGTACTATTATACACACTACTGACCGGTCATGGTCACTCAGAGGTACTATTATACACACTACTGACCGGTCATGGTCACTCAGAGGTACTATTATACTCAATACTGACCGGTCATGGTCACTCAGAGGTACTATTATACACACTACTGACCGGTCATGGTCACTCAGAGGTACTATTATACACACTACTGACCGGTCATGGTCACTCAGAGGTACTATTATACACACTACTGACCGGTCATGGTCACTCAGAGGTACTATTATACACACTACTGACCGGTCATGGTCACTCAGAGGTACTATTATACACACTACTGACCGGTCATGGTCACTCAGAGGTACTATTATACTCAATACTGACCGGTCATGGTCACTCAGAGGTACTATTATACTCAATACTGACCGGTCATGGTCACTCAGAGGTACTATTATACACACTACATTGACCACAGCATCATCAACTCTCTCTTACTCGGTATTGTTACTCGAGCCTCTTGTGAGGCTCCACATTAATTAATAATGCTCCACATTAATTAATAATAACTACCACTACCATCGTCTATTGAGAGGTTTCTTGCTAACAGGAGGATTGCGATTAATTGACCTACTGATTGTTGGTGCATTCTTACAATAAGGTTTAACCTGAGTGCAGGGGTATACTGAGCGACCTTATACCGCCCATATTATATGGGTCATAGGAGCCAAGAGCCCATAAAATGTGTTAAGTATAAAATTCGGGCTTAGTACCATCGGTCTTGGTAGTTGGTACCGTCGCCTTTGACTGATTCCTTGATGAGTTGTACCATCAAAGTCGGTTTAGCAGTTGTACATGGGCGTAACACCCATGTGCTGACTAAATCTGGGACTACTTAAAGACTCTAAATTATATAAGTATGACAGAAACGACAGAAATATTTATTACTTTCCCCAGTTTAATTAGGTGTTTTTTGGTTAACGCAGTTTCAATAGAAATTTTTCCCTGCTCATTACTTTCCGTACGTCTTTCAAATTTCATCATCTTGCCCTTGTAGGTTATTCACAAGTACCGGGATCGATCGGGAAGTTTGACCAGTACCTGGAGTAATAACAAGTACCGGGATCGGGACTAAAGTCGGGGACCTGGAGTAATAACAAGTACCGGGATCGGGACTAAAGTCGGGGACCTGGAGTAATAACAAGTACCGGGATCGGGACTAAAGTCGGGTACCTGGAGTAGTAACAAGTACCGGGATCGGGACTAAAGTCGGGGACCTGGATTAATAATAAGTACCGGGATCGGGACTAAAGTCGGGGACCTGGAGTAATAACAAGTACCGGGATCGGGACTAAAGTCAGGGACCTGGAGTAATAATAAGTACCGGGATCGGGACTAAAGTCGGGGACCTGGAGTAATAACAAGTACCGGGATCGGGACTAAAGTCGGGGACCTGGAGTAGTAACAAGTACCGGGATCGGGACTAAAGTCGGGGACCTGGAGTAGTAACAAGTACCGGGATCGGGACTTAAGTCGGGGACCTGGAGTAATAACAAGTACCGGGATCGGGTTTTTACTCGGTACAACGTACGTGACCTATTTTTACCGAGACTAAGCCAGAATTCCGGTAGATTCTTGATTACACACCGTAACATGTGGTGTCTGGAGACTGTAGAGGACTCACAACGCGTGTAATGTGGTGTCTGGAGACTGTAGAGGACTCACAACACACCGTGACATGTACTGTCTGGAGACTGTAGAGGACTCACAACGCGTCTAATGTGGTGTCTGGAGACTGTAGAGGACTCATAACGCGTGTAATGTGGCGTCTGGAGACTGTAGAGGACTCACAACGCGTGTAATAATAATCAAGGATATTATTATCGCTGTGCCAGACACCGCTCCATCTTTATGTTTACTTGTCGTCGTACAATATTCGAGTTAGACTTACCGTACAGTAAACAACAGGTTTAGGAATGATTGCGGAGTGTTAGACTGTACCGTCCAGTAAACAACAGGTTTAGGAATGATTGCGGAGTGTTAGACTGTACCGTACAGTAAACAACAGGTTTAGGAATGATTGCGGAGTGTTAGACTGTACCGTACAGTAAACAACAGGTTTAGGAATGATTGCGGAGTGTTAGACTGTAGCTTACTGTGAACAACAGGTTTAGGAATGATTGCGGAGTGTTAGACTGTACCGTACAGTAAACAACAGGTTTAGGAATGATTGCGGAGTGTTAGACTGTACCGTACAGTGAACAACAGGTTTAGGAATGATTGCGGAGTGTTAGACTGTACCGTACAGTGAACAACAGGTTTAGGAATGATTGCGGAGTGTTAGACTGTACCGTACAGTGAACAACAGGTTTAGGAATGATTGCGGAGTGTTAGACTGTACCGTACAGTAAACAACATGTTTAGGAATGATTGCGGAGTGTTAGACTGTACCGTACAGTAAACAACAGGTTTATGAATGATTGCGGAGTGTTAGACTGTACCATACAGTAAACAACAGGTTTAGGAATGATTGCGGAGTGTTAGACTGTACCGTACAGTAAACAACAGGTTTAGGAATGATTGCGGAGTGTTAGACTGTACCGTACAGTAAACAACAGGTTTAGGAATGATTGCGGAGTGTTAGACTGTACCGTACAGTGAACAACAGGTTTAGGAATGATTGCGGAGTGTTAGACTGTACCGTACAGTAAACAACAGGTTTAGGAATGATTGCGGAGTGTTAGACTGTACCGTACAGTAAACAACAGGTTAAGTTACAAATTACTATATTCCTCAGCTATCTCATAGTTGGTTCGTCTGAAATATACAGGGGGTATGACTTACTACCACCACTGTATGTTTGCTGGGTTGGCGTGAAGTAAGGAACAAAAAGCCTAATGGCCCCTAATGGAAACCAATTTCAATTTTGTTCAGCTAGATTCTGTAATCTGTAATATGGTTGCAACATCCCACAAAGGCTGTCCCCCAGTTAAACTAGTTGCGGTACGGATTTGACAGCAGATTACCCATGGAGATAAGGACGTCACTGCCTGAAATTTATCTTGAAATACACCTTCTCTCCGATAAATGCAACTTCATTAACCTTGCTGACCGATTATACCTTATCAACTAATGTTGTGAACGCTGTTAACATATTATGGTTAATATGATATGTGCTCAGGACTCTCCTATCACTCTGGGGTTGAATATCCTTGCTTCACATAGACAACAGAATCATAAAGTACGGTATTGTTCCGTTGCTCATATGGTTCAAGCCTATCATTATTCATATTGTTAACGCCTATAAGTCGTTAGATTGCTACAATTTGTTAATGTTATTTTAACATAAGTATAAGAAGATGGTGTATATCAATATGACTACAACAATTCAACAATGGAGCAATTATCATTACCCATTCTCGCACGCTATTAAGACGTCACTGTTCACT